ATACCATGTAAACAATATGGATGACGAGTTTCTCAATGACTATCGCAAAGCTGCTGAAGTCCATCGCCAAGTCCGCCAGTATGTGCAGACTATCATTAAACCTGGCGTTTCCATGAGCCGGCTTGCCGATGAGATTGAGGATGGTGTTCGGGCGCTGACCGGCCATCAAGGCCTCGACACTGGAGATGCCCTTCAAGCCGGTATGGGATTTCCGACTGGGCTTTGCCTGAACAACGTAGCTGCCCATTGGACTCCCAACCCCGGGGCCAGTGAGGTTATCCTCCACTACGATGATGTCTTGAAAGTGGATTTTGGAGTTCATGTCAGCGGCAGAATCGTCGATAGCGCTTTCACCGTGGCCTTCAATCCAGTCTTTGATAGCCTGCTAGCTGCTGTTAAAGCAGCCACCAATACTGGACTCAAGGTAAGCAAATCTGTCCCGTACAGTGGCTCCAGAGCTAAATAGACGTAGGAAGCAGGAGTTGATGCCCGGATTAGCCACATTAGTGCGGAAATTCAAGAGGTGATGGAGAGCTACGAGGTCGAGCTCAACGGGAAGACTATCCCCGTCAAAGCGGTCCGAAGTATCACTGGGCATAACATCCTACGGTACAAGATTCATGGCGACAAACAAGTCCCCTTCATTAAGACCCATACGAACCAACTAATGGAAGAAGGCGATGTATTTGCCATTGAAACCTTTGGCAGCACCGGCAAAGCCTATCTTAGGGACGATGTGGGAATTTACGGCTACGGGCGCAACGAGCATGCCAATCCTACTGGCCTTCATCACGCCTCTGCCAAGTCGCTATTGAAAAAAATTGATGAGAATTTTGGAACCCTCGTCTTTTCTAAACGTTATCTCGAGCGTATTGGGGTGAAGAACTACCACCTTGGCATGAAATCACTCGTCTCAAAAGGCATTGTGGAGTCCTATGCACCACTGGTGGATGTTCCTGGCTCTTATGTCGCACAGTTTGAACATGTGAGTACTATCCTAGCTAGATGCTACAGTTTACGCTGACACAATGCTCTAAACAGACTGTGCTGCTTCGACCCAATTGCAAAGAGGTAATCTCCCGAGGAGATGATTATTAGTTGAGGTGGAAATCGAGGGATCAAATTGACTCCAAGAGTATCGGCCGCATTTTGATTTTGTGTTCCTAGCTTCAACACATGGGAATTACACTGCAAAAGCGTTTCAACACGCCTTACTTATAGCATATATCGCGCCTATAACGCCCTTTAAACTAACAGAATCAAGTACTATCCCTATTTAAGTCTTAAGATACCGCTTAACTCCGGGCTTTTGTTCTCTCGACGATGAGTATTGGTAGCTTCATAGCCAAAAAGCCGATGCAAGCTTTGCACCACGACCGCCTAGTACGTACAAAGCGGATGCCCAAGTAGATTCCACCGATGTCGTTTTCCTGTTCTTATGATCTAGACGGTATATCAACATAAAGTAGCCAACCGGCACAACCATTGAATATAGTAAGTTGTTCGGCATCTCGCTCCTCCTAATCAGCACCCAAATTCGCGAGTTGTCTTAGCGGTGCACCATGCCATTATAATTATATTTGTTATAAGTACATCAAATCTTCCTAGCACAGCTTTCCTTCATATGGAGACGTTGTATTCGACCCTGTCCAGCCTAGATGATGGCACAGACATCTGCAACGAGGCAGTTATAGAGGGCGTCGTTTATACTTCACTCCCGTTGAAACGGCCTCCTTAGATGCGGCGAGGAAAAGGTTCTTGGAAAGAACATTGTCGGGGCCCTTGAACATGATAAGAAGTCGGTAACTCCAATTCTGCCATGACACTTTCTAATCATTTCCAGTGCTGAGAATGGAGTAAAGTTGATCGTGACTGACGCAAAAAGAAATTGTTAAGAGCTCATTTTTCTTTCCGCCTGGGCTGCGGCCACACGCCGCTTCTCCAGCACTTTGACCTCGCGCCAATGTTCTTTGACCCAGTCGAAAAGGGACTTCTTCGAGAGCGAGGAATGTGATATTTGGGATGCCCAGCGAGGTTGACGAACCGCATCCATCTCCACTTCCGTCCGGAGGGCCGGTTTGACCACTTTGTCGCCATCTTCGCTGAGAAAATGCACCCATCTTTTCAATCCTCGGATGACAATATTCACGTCCCCAGAGCACTCTGCTGCGACAATAGACGCAACTTCTCTCCATAGCCGCTCTTCTTCTACTTTCAATCTCCATGCAGAAATTCTTTGTTCATAATCTTCCTGCTTTCCGAATCGCGCCAGTGCTTGCTGCATGATATCTTCTCTGGTCAGCGGCTCTTTATCCCGCCACAAATGAATGTTCGCAGGGACCCATTCATCAATGAAATTTTGGAACATTGGCCTCTTCTTCATTCTCTGCCGGTCGTTTGCTGTGTCGAACTTGGCCAAGAATGCTGTAGAGTGGAAAAACCTCCCGCTTGCACACCATCTGTACAGCTCGTCAAGATTCTCGAATCCATCCTGATAACGTTCCACATCCAAGCCTAAAAACTCCAAAACATCCATCGCGTCGTGGGTAAGGTACACCATACTGTGTGCTCGGTTTGACGATTCAATCTCCGGGATCCGAACATGGAGGCCCTTATCATTGGCCGTCAGACCCAATGGTCTCAGAAACTTACCGACGATCTGCCACATATCACCGTAAGAATCAAGGAGGCATTCCCATTCTATGAACCCGGGGCGGCAGACATGCACATCGATTTGGGCATAGATTTCGTCATGGGCGTCGCTGTCGTCAACGGTGATAGGAACCGCAAAGCTGTGCGTGACTCCATTATGCACTGCTCGGCGGGAATTCAGGCGCTTCCCAACCTCCTCCCATGTAAACCCCGGTCGAGGGCCTTGCACCAGGGTGTCAACATCCCCATAGTCGGCTTTCCCTGGAGCTTCCGGTGGCGAGACCACGACATCGAATAAATCTTGAAGTTGTCGGATACAGAAGTCCCTTGTGCGCGTGTAGACTGCCTCGCTCATGCGAGGAGTCTGAAGGGCAGGCTCATTACCCTTTGGCTCAGAGAACACCTTGCCGCCCATATCTGCTGCTCAAGTGTGATCAGAGAGAATTGTAGGAGTTCCGAAATATTTATGTTCTGGCTCGCAGGTCAAAGATATAAAGGGCTGTGAGTCACTGCCCCTTGCCATTTTGATAGACACGTGACCCAGGGGCCAGCAGGCAACACCAGGCGGTTGTGAACTTGTGGCTGTGATTCCCGTCAAGAAGCGAAGTTGGTGCTCATAAACAGCAATGATTCTGGGTATGCTGCTGAATTCTGAACAAGAGCGCTAAACGAATTACTCTGTGAGTTCAGAGTAGGGGATATGCCAAGAGCATTTGTGATATAAATATATAACTAACTATTGCAGTGAAGCACTGTTGAGAAAATAGCACATCAGTCGGAAGGCCTGTCATCTACTCTCGCACTATGCCATACCCAATTCCTTAAATCATTCTACCACAGGTTCGTGTACCTTCTTCTTCTTTCCCATCCTCCAGTGGCCCAGCTCCCCTATGACAAGCACTATATTCTCCCTCTTCCACCATGGGCAACCAGCTCGGACCGGGGTGCCACCCATTGACGGTCTTCCACTCCATTATAATCACAGGCTGCTACCAGATCAATGCCCCCAGCAACTTGCAAGCAAGTCGGAGTCGGAGTGTGATATTCGAGTCACCCATATTCGAGTCACCCTTATTCGAGTCACCCTTATTCGAGTCACCCTTATTCGAGTCACCCTTATTCGAGTCACCCTTATTCGAGTCACCCTTATTCGAGTCACCCTTATTCGAGTCACCCTTATTCGAGTCACCCTTATTCAAATGGTTCGAATTATTCCAAATATTCAGGGCAGCTAAACTTCTTCGGGTCAATTCTGATGCTGCCATAAGAAGAGCTTAAATTTCATCTAACTATAACGGCACCAAGATGTAAGCTCGGAATAATCCGAATAATTCGCAAATTGATTCGGATTCGGATGAGAGTATTCGAATCTGGCCGAATCATATTTGAAATTCGTCGCACACACCAGTAATGGACATCCCAAACCTGCTATTCTTGGAGCGCGGACTTCCAGATCCTGCCCCGCGACCCTGAGGATCAGCCGTACGGCAAGCACCTGCTTGGCTTGCTGCGATCACTTCGGGGAAGCACCGTCTATCCAACTGAGACATACACAAACCCTGCTGCGAGACCAGTGCTCGATGGCAGGCCAGAGCGACTGAGGGCTCTGGGAAGCACAAGGGTATTGCGATTCGAATGGGACTTTGCAGGCTTGATTGGAAGACATGGCATAGTCTACGCTAATTCCGCTTGACCCGGTTGTGAAGCAGTTGGCTTTCGTTTTACGGAGCTTGCCGGAAGCTCATTTTGAGCGTTGTCATCAACTTGCTCAACCGTGATTTCAGGAAGCTGAACGGGAGCCCCATCGATTTCATATATATGTTCGTTGGGTTTGGTGGGTTTGCTATATTGCGTAGGAGGGAAGGGACCCGTTTGCGCCGGGTCGAGAACAAGGCTAGAACCCCGTCCTTGGAAATGCAGTTCGGTTGGGGAAATGGAGGAGGGTGAAATTTGCGAAGTCACATCAGGGCTCGCTACTCGAAAACCAGGGGATGTCGGTGACTGCCAACTACTGCGATACGAATCTGTCTCCGTCGGTGGATAAGCGAGGAGGCTGTGTCGAACTGAACTCGCATAGTCTGACCGTTGCTTTAATATATCCGCTTTAACGACTAGTCGTTCAACGAGGACGGCGTGAGCTTTCCTCAAAGTCTTCTTCACGAAACTTGTCACGAATATATTGCATCGCATATCAACGTCCTCTCGAAGATAAAGCCCTTCGCGTGGTGCGTCTGTCAGGCCTAATTCGACGGGCTCTCGCGGTTCACCAGGCATATTTCCACAGATACTCCATTTATCTTTGATATCTAACCCCGTCGGAGCATAAACGTGGGTCTGTAGGCCTCGAGGCAAATCGTAAAAACAGGCTTTATACGAAACGTGCCCGCTGAGCATGCCTCCCGGCAGATAGTGTATTTTGTCCATCAATTCATACCAGATGCAATGAAATTCGTCCGCGGGAGCGTTTGGAGGAGGATTGCACCGCTCATGTTTGATGACAAGTGGGTTAAGCTGGATCATGTCCGAGTGTTGATGAAGAGTTTCGATAACGGTCTCGCGGGTAAGATAGGGAGGCAACGGCGTTACCGTTGTGAAAACGCTTCGTTTCGACATCATGCCGGCCATCGTTATGTTATCACTGTGACCTGCGAAAGTAGGAGCGCCGATGTCGAACGTGATTGAGTGGACGGACGAGGGTAAAAGGTTATACAACAGGTATGAGCACGATGTTACCCCTAGAAGGATAAATGGATTCTTCAAAATATTGGCCGGAGCCCACGGATGTCAACGATAACTAAAGGTTCCAACCCACGAGGATTGGTTCTGTAGGCGCTGTGAACAGCCCCTCAGCCCCAGAGAACCAAACCAACGTATAACCATGAAAAAGGATTGGATTTGGCCTGATTTGACCGGGAGTTCAAGCCATCCTGCATGCGGAAAATGCTCGACGCTAACCACTTCAGAACCAACATGAGAATGAGCTGAAAAGCTTCTGGCAAAGGATAAACCATGAAAGCATAAAAGGCTGAGTATCATTCGTCCGCTGAGGTCTCACAGAACAAGTGTTCAATTTGAACCGTGTGCCGATGTGGCTTAGCCGTCGTCGTGATATATTAATTCGCGTTCCAACAGGAGATACTTCACGATAAGGCTTAAACTGATGCAGAAGCTTCGGAGCTCACTAATCAGCCTTGTGGGTTTGTTTCTCCTATTTTTAGTAGTAGTAGTTAACTCTATTGGAGCACACAGGGCTTTCGTCTCAAAATTCGCTTCAAGAGGAGCAAGAGTTGCCGGACTGTCAATCAATCCAGGATATTGAGTGGTTGCTGCAGAACTAACACCTTCAAATGGAGAAAATTGCCAATACACAACGCCGATGCACACGCTGAAACCCTGCTCACCCTGTTGCAGTTGCTTTCCAAGAATCGCTCAGCTTCCAAGCGCCAGCAATGAATCCCAAAAGCCCAACCATACTGTTCGAAATCCCAGCACCGTTCTCCAGACTCCAGTGGAGACATAATGGAAACCAGGCAAGGTTGCTCACCAAACTCTTACGCCATGCTCGCACCCGGAGTGCTTCACCGCGCTCCTCCTCATCTGCGGCTATCGCGCCTGTGGCCTTCTCCACGGCCAGTTGTTTCTGCTTCGCGGCCAAACATCGCTCTCTCCATAAGCGCACAAACTCCAACACGACGTGGCTCAGCCATGCGCGTGTGGACCATATATACCATTTTCCGACCCCGCCCCAGCGCCGCAGAAGGCGCTGTGAGACTATACCCTTGGACGCCAAGAATGCAATGTTCTCCATGAATTGATAGACCACATTGACGAAGACTTGCGCAAAAGCCACGCCACGCAAGACAGGGTCTGCCGGCGGTGACTTCACAGTTGCCGAACCCCACTCCCAGAGCGGTATAAGGCCAAGCAACCGCAGCGCCGTACGCGTCTCTGAAATAAGCGCCGCGAGTGCAAGGAGAGGCGGTGTTTGTGACTGAGAGTCACCTTTGCGAGTTCTTGCGACGAGGCCTAGACGGCTGTGCAGACGAGCGAAAATGGCCCGAAGAGGAGGGGAAAAGAGAATGTAGTGGAGGAGACTTGCGGAGTAGTTCACCGATGCGAGTACAGTTTCTTCACCGTAAGAGGTGGATATTAATCTATTTCACGAATTGTTAGAACCAGGAGTTTCGGGGATACAGGAAACGCTGCACCTGCCTGCTTAACCGGAGGATCGTAGTATCAGTTTTCGACAATACGCCCTTCATCAAAGGATTGCCTTGGGCGTTGCTCTGAACGTCGGGATCGCTTGGGGGTTTCTTTGTAGGTCCGTTTGTTTTTGGAGCTACAGGTTGAGCGACCCCCTCGGAGGGGTCAAGCGTGCTCACAGTATCCTCCATGATCTCCAGTGGCTACGAAAGCTTCTCTTCAACATCGCCCTTCATAGGTTAACGTATAGCTCTTCAGTAATTATAATGGAGGAGAAGAATATACGGAATCGCAACGGGGCCTTCGGACTCTCGGAGCTCCCCATGTGAGCCGAGGCTCGCATACAGTCACGTGATTCATCGGAACAACCTAATTCCGTCATAGGGAGTATTATATCCGACTTGGCACGTGACTTTTAGGGTCGGCCTCTAATATCACGGAGCCATGGATATTCACAATATAATGATAGTGCAAACCACTTAATGGGGCTCTAGGGCAGCGAGGACTCGGATGTTACGGAAATGTGGGCATTGTGCTTTCTATTTCCACAAGAGAATCTAGGCCTTGGTACGTTTCGAGGCCATTCCAGCCTCTCTCTTTTTCCTCCAGTAAGGCGACTTTACGCGCAGCACAATAACCGCAGCACCAACCACCACCAAATTCAATATGGACAGCCCAGTGAAGCACCATCCCCAACCCATCCGAGTCACAAGTGGTGCGATTATCGCTGCAGCAATTGCAGCCCCTGGGCTTCGAAGCATGTTTCCCAGCGCAAAGGCTCCAGCAGCCTGCTGGGCGACGCACTCTGTGAGGAATGCATTTGAGGCAACAAAGGTCCAGGACATCCCAAACCCGGCTGATTACACCCTTGTCAGCTTTGAATTGTCACACAAAAGAAGTCATCACGATGGGACTTACTCAAAAATGTAGACACAAGTGTTGCTGCTGGGTGGATTGATCTATCAACAAACCAGCCGAACATCAAAAGGCCAGCAGCTAAAAGGAGGACCCCCCAGATTTGGTCAATCAGTCTAGTTTCAGGGGGAATATTCTTCTCCCCCAGTGTCTTCGCCAGACGCGCTCGCCGCCAATCCGAGAAATGGCCTCCAGTCACGGAACCTATTACCATGGCGATTCCAACAACCAGATAGCCTGCACCAACGCTTGCTGTGGACCAATGGTAAACGCCTTGCAGTGCCGTAGGGAGCTGAATGGCAATACAGAAGTACGATGAGTAGAGTATAGCGGTATCGAAACAGACGATTCCGATCGGAGGATATTTGAACAACTGCCAATAGCCTTTCAGTGTTGGCTTCGGTGGTGGCGGCCCGCGCTCGGATTCAGGAGCAAGTTGGGAGAATGGAGTTGGCGGCCACAATATCCAACCACGTTCGTGGAATATCTTGCCATTCCCTACTCTAGCTCGGAGCGTTTCAGGTAGGGCGGCGATGATTACGAGCCAAAGGACGAATGCGGATATCGCTAACGTTGCATCAATGCGATGAACCACTTGTATAATGGAGAAGCAGAAAATTCAAGGAAATCTTACCCAGGAAGCCGAAAATCCACCTCCAAGATGCTTGCCCTGCAAAGGCTCCTCCCAACACTGGCCCCAATATTGGGCCACACTGTGGACCAAGTAGGAAGTACGACATTGCTCTTGCGCGTTTTTTTGGCTCAACAATCTGATATTCCATTCATTAGCCTCTGATTTCGGCTGCGTGAAAGGCGTTTTGTTCACATCTGCCACAGTTCCCGCGCCCATTGATACCACAGCGGCTGACCCAAATGCTTGTATCACCCGAAGGAAGATCAACGCACCAAAATTACTCGGCAAGGCTGCAAGTAAGATGTTTGCGCCGATGTATATAAGGATTGAGGCGAGATAAAGAGGTCGTCTTCCCTTCCAGTCCGCAAAACTTGCCCAAAAAAGAGGCTTCAGGAGCCCGAATCAGCCAATATTATCCTCATCATCACTGGAGAGACAATAACTCACCCCAAACGCGAAGACGACCATGAAAACCGAGACTGTACTATTCATGGCAGTTGTGCTGACATTGAACTCGTCAGTGAGTACCGGGAGCGCAGGTAAGTAGATGTTTCCGGCCAAAGGCCCAAAGAAACCTGCAACGGTAACCACAGTCAGGATGAATGTCCTTCTCGACGGAGAAAACGCAGTATAGGCAGGTGTGGCCATTGGTTTGCCATCACGCTCGATGTCCGACGGCGGTCCAGGAGGGTTTGAGGCCTCTACCTTAGCAGCCATGTTTTCGCTTGCTGGTTTGTCTTTCGGACTTTCAGACATGTTTCGAAATGGCACATATCACGATCGTGCGGATTGGTGCTAAGCCAAAGGAGAGGCGGCTCATCAACCCTTGACTGAATTTGTTCTTGAGAGACGACCTCCGTGAGGTTCAAAAAGAGGAAAAAGAGGAACACAGTCGACGGCGATAACTCAGTTCGTTGGCTCCGAAAGGAAATGGGCTCACTAGTTTGAAGAAGGGCGTCGACGAAATCTGACAGCTGGTGGAATGGCAGGGATGTCAATTCAATCCTGCACAGACGGTCCGTTAACTAACCAGCGGCTGACGCCCATGTTAGCTACGGGGCCCACGTTATCCTCAATTCTCGATTCTAGGCTCAATAATACCCGTAGCCTCCTTCGATCCCAGAAAAGCGGTTTCTCACAGTCTCGGATTCCCAGCACTGGCCCATTCTCATCCACTTGAGTTCTCCGCAAAAGTTCCGCCATCATAGCTTTCTTGGCTTAGAGCTCAGGTGTGGGCTCGTGTTGACCGGGGTGCCATCGCTAACTTAACTAGCGCCCAACAAACGTTCCTCGAAATCTGCGCATCAGATTCGAAAGCTTATCAACTGCCCAGATTTGAAGCTGTAGTCTCGCACTCCTTATAAAATTTGCATTCGAGGTGAAGTCTATGGTGAGACGGGGCTGGCGTTTGGATCAGTTCTCGGACCCGATGGGATCTTCGGAACTGTGTTCAGTCCCTGTTCATGCGAAGGGAACTCCCTGTCCATCTAGTACCCAAGGAGCCAACGAAAACTTGCTCAATCGTGCGCAGACACAGACGCATCCTCTACGCAGTCTCCATCCTGGATTCAGAGGGCGGGCCACCACAACATTCTCCGGGCACTGCATCAAATTTGCTCATATTTCAGTGCGGTTTCTTCACGATGGACGGATATCCGCTTGGCCCCCAGTTTGCAAGAAATGCTGCAAAAGGATTTGAGATCTCTTATGACCTTAAGAACCGGCATTCCCGAGCTCTCAAGTGCCGGAATACCATCAATTTTCACCCGTCTAGAACGAAGAGATGTCGTCCGCCAGCAATGCCAGCGACATACATGATTCAGACTTGGATAATACCAAAAAGGGCGCTGGAGCTTCTGCGCAGGAGATCCCGCGCGATGGAGGATCAGAAGGCGAAACCAGCGCAGCGGATTCCTCAGCTGCCTCGTTGGGCTCAAGAAAAGCATTATGGGCTTTTCTAATTCTGTGCTATTCGGTCTGTCTTCCCAGCATCCTGTTCTGTGGCTTTGGAAACAGTGCACTGATGGGAGAATATAGACCGGTCCGACAGCTTCTATGGTTTTCAACTATGTTTCTGCTGCGATTCAGTCTGCTGCCAACCTGGTGGGCCATCAGCCGGGATCAGACAAACCGTGCGGCCGACGCGGAAGCAATATCAAATGTGTAGTCAAGTTCGGAGCCGGCGAAATTGACTATCTCAGTTACCTGTAAGTATACTCTGCAAGGGAGTCGCTGAACTGTATACTAACAAAGTAGCTTGTACTTGCGGGCAATTGGTCGCGCCATGGAGGGTGTGATCACTATTCTTGTATCTGGACTGGCAGATTATTCCAGTAAGTGAGCTGAAAAACAACCCCCGTCTGTCGATCTCAAGCATTAACACCACGCGTAGGCTATCGGAAAACCATGATGATGGTGTCAATCATCCTTTTCGGTGCTTTAGCTCTCCCGTTTGCGGGTTTGACGGAGTCCAATTACAGCCACCTCACCGCCCTCTCTGTCTTGTACTGCACCTTAACGACTATTCAGGGTGTTTATGTTGTCATTGAAGCGTCTTATATTCCTATCTTTATGCGCTCCGTGGGTTGGTTTCGGCCCCGACAACCGGCGTTGCCGGCAGACGCGGCTGCAGACTCCAGCGGATTAGAAAAGCGAACATGGACAAAGGGTTTCACTGTTAGCGTTCTTGCATTGGTGGCCGGCAATCTTGGTGGCTTGACTGCACTAATCATCGGTGTCATCCTTGTTTATTCCCGAGGGTCATATGTCAAAATTGGCTACCACAACTACCTCCTTGCGATCACCATCGGTGGTTGCATAACGAGTAAGTCCTATGTGTCAATTTTCCCGGAAGATTCCTAACCTAGTTTATAGTACTCTTTGCGACCATTGGCCAATTCCTATTACCTGCCATAGAGGGCAAAAAGCGGCCAAAAGGCGCGGATGTTTTCCTCCTCCCAGCGAGAGGCTGGCTTCTAATGGTTTCCTCGGTGCGTCGCTACCCCGAAGCATTCAAACTCTGCATCGGCTGGGTTCTCTGGCACACCTCCTACTCCAACTACCTCGGTTTGATCCAGTCACTTTTCCTTCAAGTCACTGGTATCAGCAACGGATCTGGTGTCTACCAAGTGTGGTCCTTCACCAACGTCATTTTCGCATGCATGGGAAGTTTGGGGTTCCTCTTCATTTTCCCCCGTATCCAAGCTCCTATCAAGAGCTGGGCATATGTCTTTTTAGCCGTTAATTTCCTCTGCATTTTTTGGGGCTGTATCGGAATCAGCAACAACGTCCCGATTGGGTACAAGCACACTGCCGAATTTTGGGTGGAGCAAGTTCTCTTTATGAGTACGAGCAGTGCCCTCCGGTCGTATAACCGAGCGGTTTACTCATCGCTGATTCCAAAAGGATCTGAAGCCCAGTTTTTTGGGCTTGAGATCACGCTGGATCTTGCCACTGGTTGGATCAATCCTCTCGTGCAAGGAGTTATCCAGAATAGGACTAATAACTTGCGGTTCCCAATGCTTGCCAACGTCCTGCTGATCTCGGTAGCAATTTTGCTTTACATCTGGGTTGACATTCCAAAGGGCATTGAAGATGCGAAGGTACCCCTTGGAGAGACGCCGACCGACACGGTTCCTGAATAGCACGTGTAACTTATAGTTAGTCTCGCCGCATTAAATATTTCTTCTCGTGTTATCTTTTTATTTCTTATCTTTTTGGTAAACTCCAATTCGTGACGAAAACAGCATATCAAGTCGGGCCGGATGCAAAAATAGAAATCCATGAAAAAGCGCACGCACGGCGCCCGAAATTTCCCAACAAGGAACTTGGAACTGGGATTTCCAATTTCTGCGTGTTGGATGTCTGCAGATCATTCGTGTCAAAGCACAGTATCCTGGAAGATGCATCATGACGAGAACGATTGCGCAGATTACCCTTCCCCACAGTGGTAACAGCGGCGAAATTCAAATATTTGCAGCTCGTGTTGCAGCTTCTCCTGCCGAGCACATATGGTGTCTTCCGTGACCCCGAATTTCCGTTAACTATCGTCTTGCCTACAAGATCTGTCGCAACGTAGCTTTCGTGTGGTGTCAATGTGCACACCAAGAAATGTCGGCCCGCATGCATCCGGATGCATGATTTCCTGCATGAACCGGGATGTATTTCCATCTAGTCCGGGAAGATGAAGATGTAGCTAGCATGGAAGAGCTTGAACCAACACTGTCAAAAAGCCTTCATACGAATCTTATTTTTCTTTAGCGGCGGCAAGGATAACGTAGATCGAGCTTGAGTCCACGTTCTGCGTGAACTGTTACGAGGGCTCTGGCCCACTCGAGTTCGAGTGCCCCCTTTGAAAACTCTTCCTGGAGCTACAGAATCATCACGAACATCTGTTATTTTCCGGGCACCGTTAGAAGATACGTAATAAGGTACGGATTTGCCCAGTCAGCAGTGAAAATCCGCGCATTCTTGCTCAAGATCTCTCTTATTCGACGTTCAAGATCAATTACGCTTCACGGCTTGTGAAAATCAATCGCAATCCCCTGGGGAACAATGGGCCAGCCTGCAGCGAGCGATTAGATTCAACATCAACCACATTGTCCCAACGCAAGACTGCAGAATAAAAGCTAAAAAAGAGGGCGTGGTAGGTTTCTTACTGGGGTCTTGCGGTCTTCCCACTTGGGGTCCAACCTCCAGCTCAAATTCTTCAGCAGAATAAAAAGCGAAAGTTTCATTTCCAGCAACGCAAAGGTCTCCCCGAGACACGCACGGCTACCTCCATGGAACGAGGTAAATTCTGCCCGTGCCCTCGCGACCCTATACCGCATAGAAATTTCTTTGGTGGTTGAGCCCCATCGTTCGGGCCTAAATTCGTCTGCGGTTTTGCCCCAAACAGTGGGATCCCGATTAGTTGCATAACAGTTGTATCCTACGTACGTATTTTGAGGGATATAGATCTCGCCCCCCAAAACAACTGGCTTAGCCACTCGTCGATTGATTAGCTGGGAGATAGGCGGAAACAATCGGAGGCTCTCATAGGTGACGGAAGTGAGATATGGCATGTCGCGCAAAATGAGGTGGGACGGCTCATCCGCTCCACAGCCCTCAATTTCAGATCTTAGACGACATTGAACTTCCTGGGAAACATCAGCTTGGATCAAACCAAGGAGCCCAGATAGCACTAACGGGATATTTTCCTAGCAGGTACATTGTTGAAATCAGAAGGAGTTGCGGGTTTTCCTGCCCAGCAACAAATGTAACGTTCAGGTTGTCCCGAAATTGTTGCTGTGTTAATTCACCACGATCTCTAGCGGCAATTAATCGTGATCCAACGTTGTCAGATGCTTCGGAATCCGGCATCTCAGTGTGATCCCGGACTAGCCTTGACTCCAACTCACTAGAAAATCTTCGTACTAACTCTCTTGCGTGGGCACGACTAGGTATGAAGGAACCAAATCGATCCAACAGAGGGAAATTCATGAAAATAGGCTTGAAAATTTCTCTCTTCACTGCGAGCTGCAATTTCATGAGTGTGTCATTTTCAGTTGACAGCGACTTGATTCCCAAGTTAGCTAACTGTCGATACGCAGAGCGAGGGCCTTACCTCTATCTCAGCCTGCAAGACGCACTTTGATATATTTGCAGTTGTGTAGCACTGGATATGATTCTGGATCAATATTCCCTGACTTCCCAGGGCCTGCTGCGATTTTTTGAGCAAACTGCAGAGCTTTCTAGCATTGGCAACAATGGGCTGTGTTTCAAAGGTTTTCTGAAGGCCGGGCTTGATAATATTTCGGTAAAGTTTCCAATCGTCGCCTCTCGAAGAAATAATGTTGTCGCCTTAACCGCACATATATGAGCAGGTTCCGAAAGATGGAACAGAGTTATTCACTTACCTAGGAATTCCGCAAGGACGCTATGAGGAATCTTCTTTTGGTTTCCGCTCTTCTGGTAAACTTCCTCATGTTTAAACATTTCCGCCACGTAGGTCGGTCTCTGTATGACCAAGTTCCATTGCCCCCCAAAGAAAATCTTGATAACTCCATACTGTTGCAAAGGCTTCCGAATGTATCTTCGATACGTGTTCTCTTGGTCAACATCAAAAAATAATGGGAGTAAAGTAACCCAAAATGGAACTGCGGGAATATTTCGAGGATGACGAGGCGGAACGAGAACCCAGTAGAGCGACAGTGTAAGAACAACCACTCCCGCAAGAAGGACTTTGCTCAGCATTGCAATGAGGGCGCCCGAAAACATGTTGGATGAATCGTAGATGGTCGTATTCACCGTTCGAAACAACCACGGAGAAGAAAGCTCCTGGTAGGATTTGCTGCCTAGAATATAGTTGACATCTCAGACTTGGAAGTCAAAAAGATCGAACATAACATCGTTTTCATACGCCGCCCTTTTCCCTGCCATCCCAAGGTGCCAAACAGGGTATAATGCAAGCTGAGTGGGGCAGGGATGCTTCCATCGGAACGTTAAACACAATTCTGCCGGTTCCCAAATTTGGCTAGATATTTGCTCAAGGGCGAATCCAGACTATCTGGTCCAAGCCTTGAGGCTGTGCTGTTCTGCTGAGGGCCATTGTGACTGAATTCGATGTTAGTAAACGTCCATATCAAGGGCACATGAATTAGTGTCAATACCTGGACCCTTATACGGCCCACGTTGTAGGGGAACGCCCAACGGGCCCAGCCAACTTCGCGTGGATTGGAAGAATGGTAACCCTGGAAGTGTCAGCTTGGATCACGTTGGTATTGCGGCCCTGGTTCGATATCGTATCTCTACGGAGTAAATATAGCCCCATCATCCGTAGGTATCAAAATCCTCAAATAGCTCAGAGACGCATAGCTCTTGAACAACGCCAGAGTATGAACGATTTGGCACACGAAAGCGATTGTGATTCAGTTTTAGAAATAATTCGCCTATGGAGTTCTCAAACGATGGAGATTCGATTTACCACCGAAACATTGCGATTTATGTTAGACGAACGAACGGTGAACTCATCCGCTGTCTTGGGAAAAATCATCAATGGGTCAACACTTCCTGGCCGACTATCCGATCCACGGTACTGATGGCGAAGTCGAATCACGTACGCTATTTCGAGAAGCACGGCCTGTCTCGCTTCCGATTGAGCAACACCGCGCTTGAGACCGAAACTATTGACATCTATGAGACGAAAAGCCATAAGGAAAACGAGGTCACTGGGCTGATACTGAGAGCGACCGAGCCAGAGCGGATGAGTGCATCGCGCTTTGAAGAATTCTTCTCCATGATTATTTTGACTCAGACGCAGATTGACATCACGATGCCAATAGCGGAGCTGCCGTCCGAGGGCGATTCGACGGTTCAATCTATCGTCGATCTCTTCGATGAACTCCTGCGGTACAAAGTACCGAATGATCTGTGGAACGATCAAGGACGAGAATACTTCGCGTCCAAAGTGCGGTTCTTTACCTCGCGCAATCTTCGGCTAGAAATGTGCCTTCCAGCGTTCCCATGCAAGTCATCAAACCCAGAAAAGGTGGCGGGCCGTCTTCCAGATAAAGGGGAAGAGATAGCTTTAAGGCGATTGCATGGCTTTGTTCGACAAATTGAAAATATATACACGCCAGGGGCACGAGTCTGGATCATCAGTGACGGTCATGTTTTTAGTGATTGCAGTGAGTCAATATCATACTTCCGTGTAAGCAACGCAAAGTAACACGATTAAGTCGGAGTTGACGATCAAACCGTTGACGACTACGGTGCGCATCTTAAAAGGCTGAACAAGGCCATCGAATCATCCGCGGGAGAGCAAAAGGAGCGCGTTTGCTTTCGATCACTGATCGATATCTTCAACCTCAAAACCACCGATGAAATCGAGGAGTACCCGGACATGCCGAATTTGGAGCACCATATCGCAACTGAGTTGAAAAACGACGCAGAAACTTGCCGCCGCATCCTCATGGCGGGCTGTGAGCCTAGCCAAACCGGGCTCAGAGCACGGATCGAATCTCAAGAATCGTCGATCTTGGCCTTGTACCGGGGGTTCTCACGGTTCATGCTTGAGGATCTGGATTTGCACCCGCTCACGCAATCCCTCTCCCGCTCGCAGCGGAAAAAGCTTGCCACAAAAGTCTCGTTTGAGATGATTCTGCGAAACCAAGCCTATTCGAACCTGGTTGAGTTGATGTTCCCCGACCACATTCGGCTCTCTATCCATGCACACAACAACTCGGGTCCCAAATTCGGGATCCGACTGTTTGACACCGCGACAGCGCGAGCAACGCATAGCCTGAGCGCAGCTGACGGTGAATTGTTGTCCCACGACCTACTACACATTCCCACGCCATGGCACAACTGCGTTGCCAGCTGTGCCGGGGAATCAATGATACATATCGTAAAGTCTGGCGTCATCAGGGAAGCCTTATCCACCCCAGACTATACCGGCAGCTGGGTCGAGGGCAACCTGTTGGAAGGTCAAGGGGGATACTTCTCCCTGCAAAAGCGAGCAGTTTCTCGAGGGCTAACCATGAAGGACGGGGCTGACCATGCGGCTGTCAGCCGGGATACCATTCATGCAGTCCATGTGAAAGACAAGGTAGAAAGCCAGACGGTCCTGTCAGTGGTCTCCAGGATCCCATGGACCCTCTACGACCTCTCCATCGGCTGGTTGATGTCGGTTGTGAGCGTGCGCTGGAGGGCGTGGATGAAGCGACGTCGAGGCGCGGCTTAGTCATGTGTTTGCTCTGTTTGCACTCATACCGAGCAGGACGACTGGAACAACGAGGTTTTTTACAGAGTGTTACTCCCATGTTGATCAAGAATATAGTATGGGATCTCTAGTGTATGGAAGAGCATTGCCGAGTTTCGCGGCATGCAGACTTTGACTTGGTGGATGGTGAAACTCGGGGGCTGGGAACGGGAGTTGAGTGCTGGTTGGCAGGGTAATCAATGCTCTGTACACAACAGTGCTTGCAAGCTGCAATGTCATATATCTGAGATCACTGTGTGAACATTAACCGTCTCTCTGGAGTTGAATAAAATCTGATGCTTCTGTGCCAATCGACAGCTGTGCTCTAAGCAGCTCGTTGCTCTGTCACTCCTTATCCGCCATCCGCCTGGAAAGCTTTTTTCCGAGCGCCAAACCTTCCAGCCTGTTCCTCTTGCATTCATTAAAACCACAACAGGCCATTTGGCACTGAGCAGTTCATAAGCATAGGCTAATCCCCCTCCCCTGTTGCCTCGATACGCTCTGGCTATCTCAAGCAACGGCGTCGCAGGCCTCGTCGTCGGTAAGTCAATTGCTCCAGGGCTCTCCAGACACTGACCTCGGCCCAGCCGCTCGACTCTTCCCCAATCATAAACAAACAACACTAGTTCCCCACGCTGCGGCCGGCAGAGCTGACCTCCTAACCTCGCATCACCGATCTGCCGCGACTCCATCTCTTCCACTCGACGCAACACCTCCTTACCCATAGCCCATCGAAGCCTACGAGCTGCAGCGCCAACATGTCCGTCAAATTCGAAAAGGAAACCGTCAAGACTGCGACCAAGGTCGGCGGAGAACTCGCACAGAAGGTGGGCGCCAAATTGACTGGAGGGAAGACGCAGAATGGGTACCTGGCTGTATGTTTTGCATTGGAATCCGATAGGGTGCGACCATGGTTCGAATGCTAACGATGCTGGGGCTCGCAAAGGCATATATCAAGCAGCTCCAATCGAATCCGCTCCGTACCAAAATGCTCACCTCGGGCTCCCTGTTCGGCCTGCAGGAACTCCTCGCCTCCTGGATCGCACACGATCGTAGCAAGCATGGCCATTATTTCAATTCCAGAATACCCAAAATGGCGGTCTACGGCGCTTTCATCAGCGCACCGCTTGGCCACTTCTTGATTGGCATTCTGCAACGGGTCTTCGCTGGCCGCACCAGCCTAAAGGCCAAGATCCTGCAGATCCTGGCCAGCAACCTCATCGTATGTCGATAAGCTCTTCCCTCCCGCGATCGCAGAATCGCTTCAAGCTGCTAATTGCGATCCTTGATGCCGCGCAGATTTCTCCCATCCAAAACGTCATCTACTTGGCGTCAATGGCCATCATTGCCGGCGCGCGTACCTTCCACCAGGTCCGCGCCACCGTCAAAGCCGGATTCTTCCGTGTTATGAAGGTTAGCTGGGTTGTCTCGCCGCTCTCCCTGGCGTTTGCCCAGAAATTCCTCCCAGAGCAGACCTGGGTGCCGTTCTTCAACATTGTCGGTTTCATTATCGGTACCTACATCAACGCCCATACCAAGAAGAAGAGACTCGAAGCATTGAGACGCAAGGTATACTTTATACTCTCCTCATCCATCCTGTTGGACTACCGCTTACCTCCCTTTTCCTCATGTAGCAATACGGCTCCGGCAAGAGCACTGCCGGTCGCAGCGAAGATTACCCACCAAGACCCAACTACTAGCCCGCGTCACCTGCGCTCCCTCAATGATATTCACCTCGTGGATTATACCTTGAGATATTTCCGGGCCAATCGCCCCACAAACGCTTCGTCATGGTTATCATCCCGCCTGAGATCCAGAAGCTTTGAGGTGCCCCCCCAAACCACCAACAAGGACGAATGTCATGTCCCTTATGCAAGAATCTGTTTTTTTCACGAATGCCGTATAAATCACCCCGAATCCCCAATTTCCTTACGATCCTATGGTTGTGGGCGGCGGGAGGCGATGGGCTTCTTCTGTTTGGTTCACGTAATTGGTCTATGACTTTTCTTTTTTTTTTTTTGTACCTCTATCTGCTTTTAACCCTGTGTATGAACTCCCCATCTAGTTTTGAAAGAACTTAATCTCATTCCTACGGGTTGGACTTGGAGCTCTTAAATGTCTGGGCAGTTTAGTAGCTAGAAGCCAGTTCAATTTTGCGCAATTCGGTTTAACTTAAGAGATTCGATATCTTTTATCTATTTTCCAAGGGGCTAGGTGAAGCCCTCTTGCGGCTGCGGGCGAGTTAATATGTTGGTGATACTGACCTCGGGATCCTCTTCCGTCAGAAATATTCATGATCATTCAGAAATTGCAATTTTATACACTTCTAATAACACGGGTATATGTGCTAACTTCTATACAAGTCCCGGATTACAAGAAGCACGGCTAGCAATCTTTACAAACGGACAAATCCATAGTCTAAACAGCAAAACGGGTTATCATAAATGGATCTGGACCCTTTGGCGAGCGCTGATAAAAACCTTTCGCCTGGGATATGTATACTTCCCCTCGTGCTCACGTATATGTATAACGAGACCAGATACTGTGTTCACGACCTTCCTCGTTCCCCTCCCCAAGAAATGCGCGATACATGTCCACGTCTAAAGTCATCGTTTCCGTTACCATTTCCGTTGCCAGCGTTTGAAGCCGACTGTGACGATCCATGCTCGGTCGTAGCCATACCACTCGCACTTCCGGACTGTGCTGGTAACACCGTCATCGCGTCTCTATTGGTCTTGGCTGGTCTTGTCCCGTCTGCAAACGATACTTTACCCTTTACTAGGCGTGGGCGTCCATCGTCCTCGCTATCCGAGCGTCCATCACTCTGGCGACGGCCACGGTCAATAGCCTCATCGTCATCACCAGTGTGCGGCAGCTGACCCAGGGCAGCAAGTCGACGTTTCCGTTCTGCCGGCGTTTCGCCTGTTTCCGGATCGATTTCTTTCGTTCTTGACACCGTTGGCGATTGCGATGGCGCCAAACCAGCCAACTGTCTGAGTTCAGCCGGCGGTATGCGCCTCGTTCCGTCGTCTTCTGAGTCACGACGGCTTCGGATGTGGCTAGTTGGCGAAGGAGATGATTCTCGAGATCCGGCGAGACGGCGACGGCGGGATTCGGCTGCTGATATGTCGGGACCAGCATATTGAGCTAAGGTGGCTGCAACATCATGAATTGGCACCTCCTCCTCTCCTTTCTACGCTGTCATCTTGCCCGACAGAGAGAAGGATAGTCCGGTGATCCAAAGCTGCTAGGAGATTTTTGAGCCTTTGGACGCCGGCCGCGGGCCTGTTGCGCTTGTTCAAGTTGTTCATCTCCAGTAACCGGCTTTAATTGGCTAGCAATGCCTTCTTCAAAAATTTCCTTCTGCGCTTTGGGATCAAGTTGTTGAATTTCTTTGATGAAATCTTCCTTGGTCATTCTGCGGCCCCCAAGACGATGGCGATGCCCTTTCTTCTCAGGCACGGTGAATCTTATCCTCTCCTCATCGGAGGAAGCTTCTTCGCCATCTTTTGACTTTGATTCGCCTTCCTTACCATCGCCACGACCAATCCAAGTACCCATTCGAGTCATACGCCGCGGCCGCGGCCGGGGTTCAGCTTCTGCTTTGGAGGACGGCTCACCCTCTGGAGCCTCCTTCTTAGCTGCCTTGGGCCCAGGGATGGTGTATTTCTTGATCACTTCACCGTCTTCGTCTTCTACTATGATGGTATTGGCGAACTGATAGGCTCGTGCCGATCGACGTGCCCGTTCTTTTTTAGGCTTCCTTTCTGGTGGCACCTCAGGCGAGCCCATATCTTTCTGTTTGCCGTTCTTCCACGGAAAGCGTCCCTTCAACTTCTTCAATGGACGGGCCAAATTCCTTTCGGCAGCCTTCTGGATATCTTCTCCTTCCATTCGCTCATGCGGATGGTCCCTTCCTTTGGCAAAAACCCCAGTAGTGTCCTCCTGAAGCCGCTTGTGCTGCGCTAGAATTTCCTGTTCACGTTGATCAGGAGAAAGATGACTGATATCCCTTGTTTCCAGAACATTTCCCTCTTCGTCTTCGATGATCATGTGATCTCCTTCCTGATAGATCTCCAACTCCGGCTCTCTCGAGGGTTGCTCTTCAGCCGACGGTGACTTGACACCTTGTTCTAAATCAGGACCTTCATCAGCTGCGGTCAGCTCCCCTCTCCGTTGTGGCATAATAGCGGATTGACTGATTGGCCCGCCCGCTCCAACTTTCTTTCTCCTCGTCGGCTTTCGGCTAGATGCACGACTACCTGGCTGACTTGGTTGGTCTCCCTCCTTCTGTCGTCGCAGAAAGTTGCCAGGTATACCGATTGGACCGAGAGTGCCAGGCGGAACTTGAGCCAGACCTTCGCTAGATGAGTCAAGCGAATCTTTGCGCAGAGAGAGGGAGGCCTTGGACTGGGACTGGATTCGAGGAAGCCGGTTCATCCATGACGGTCCCTCTTCGTTAGCCGTTGTATAAGACATCGTGATGGTCAGCGTGTTAATACGTTTGCCAAGGGTAAACACCGCGACGGAGGATCCATGCACAAGGATCGATGAGATAACCAAAAAGGTAGTTATGGGCCAGATGAGTTGAATAACTGTGTAATTGTGAGAGCCCTTTGGAGGAAGCTCGTCCAGCGGTTGAGTCGTATGCGTTTCCAACTCTGCTCGAGTTAGAATGCATGCAAAGATTGCGCCGACGCCGATCGGCCCGAAATGGCCTGCGAACAAGGACTCTCGCCATGTTTTCACGTCCGGGATAAACGGCTTGAGTAGCAACATGACCGGTATTCGACGAAAGAAAATCACAAAAATCGCGAGGATAACTAACCTCCAAACGGGAAGGCCAAGCTCTGGTGCATTGAATTCCTGCCAGGGTATAATTGCACCGAAATAGACGAAGTAAGTCAAGTTCAGTAGCAGATCAATGACATTGGAGACATGAGACTCCTCTGTTTTCTCCGTGAACCATCCATCATTACTAAACCCCACACCCGCAGAGAATCCCATTAACAGATCATCCATTCCCAGCAAACTGCCTGTTCCAGCACAGAACAAAGCCAGTACAAAGTAAAACACCAAGAAACTTTCTCGATCAATGAGACTTCTCCGCTCTGCAAACTTGATAGCATGGCGACCAGCGTAGCCTATCATGAATCCAAGGATGGCGCCGAGGATGCATTCGTAGAGGAGTGTGACGCAAATCCAGTGGAGTGCCACCTCGTTAGTATTAGGTCGATAGGCCAGGATGTAGAGCGAAAGGTAGATAAAAGGGAAAGCCATGCCGTCGTTGCATCCCGATTCAGCGGAGAGCAGATCTCGAAGATGCTTGGGGACACGCTTTGCAAATTTACCCTTACCAACGACTGACGAGGCTAAGACGGGATCGGTGGCCGTAACGCAGGCAGAACAAATCAGACTCTCCAACCATGTTAATGGAGGGACCATCCACCAGATGAAGAGGCTCGTCATCAACCAGCCCCATGTCATGACGGGAACCAGAAGCAACGCGACCGATCTCCAATGCCTTTCCATGTATGATTTGGGCAATTCAACCCCAACAGCAAAACATTGCACAACGAGGACAACTCGCGAGAATTCGAGTGTGATTTTGTCAACGTTCCCCCATGATATTGGGTCAAGGAGGTTGGCAGCATGGGGCCCAAAGATAACTCCACACAAAGTGGCAACGGTTGCTTCACCGATATACAGTTTCTCTTTGACGAAAAGCGAGCATAACATGAACAAACTGGTGAAGCCTCCCAGTATCATGTACGCGACATGAGGTTTATCGATATCGAGGTGATCCCAAGCCATTTTGCGGGCAGGCTTTTTAAGTTGTCAAGCAGTAAATGCAAAAGACAAACACGGACCCGAAGGTCGAAACTTCTATTAAAGGACGGTTTTCGATGCTTCGTGAGAGTAGTCCGGTATCTTCAGTCATGGAATAGAGCCACCACCACAGTACGATGAGATGCCTCTCTGTCTGTCGGTCCTTGAAAAGCGAACCTGACTCTCAGCATGTCCCCAATTCCTTATCTGCGTAACAAGTTGGCCAACATAAAGTTGTATATGGTAAAATCGCAAGGCTCGCAGGGGCGCCGCGATGGTTCAAGAAGAGGCAAATGTTCCTAGAGCCTAACAGAGGAAGAATCAGTTCTCTGCGGAGGCTTGAACCAAAAACGAAAAATGTTTCACAGAGCACCGGAGGCCCGGAAAAGTTGCGAGCAAGAAATATTTCTCACCTCGAGCGATTCAAGTTCCGATAGCCCGCCTGGAGTGTGTACGAAACACCCCGAATCGAGCAATGATTGACAAGCTGTTCTCCGATATTCGTGTCTCAACAATGGCAGACCTCGACCTGGTGGATCACGAGAACAAACAAGAAATTGAAGCCAAGCACAGACTGAGAGGCTTAACTGCACCAAGATGAGCGGTCTAAGAGGATTGGCAGGAAAACGTATCCTGGCGATTTGCGCTTTGGTAGTAACGCGATGGAGCTGCACCAGCTGACTAAGGGCAATGTTCAACGGCATAAGATGTGCTCCAAGCCAATCAAAAGTCTTTAATTTTTGCATACATTTGTAAATGCAAATTTATGCAACTATCTAGCCCGGAGCGGTTAGGCCTATCCGCCAGTGCCAATGCTTGGCATTTCCACCCCGAAGTCTTGGCCCGCCTCGGTCCGCCCGTGTTGCGAACGGCAACTTTCGCGATGCTTGAGAGCTTCGATGCGTTTGTCACACGGTCGCATTGCTGGCTCATACACAAGGACCTCGGTTTCTTAATGGCAGAACTGGTCGTACACTTGTACCACGAGGCAGAAAGCTTGTCAAGGTACTCATTTTTGCTGAATATGCGGAGGGCGAGATCCCGGGCCAGCACGGACAGAACAGTCTCCACAAGTCTCTCGGTTTTACCTAGAGGTAGGAAGTCGTTCTTTTGACAAACTGGAGTGACAACCTCTTCCATTACAAGGCCTTGCTCCAGACATACATATAGGGGTATATCCAAGCACAACGTAACAAATCTCGCACCTTAGCAAAAAGGAAAAACAAAAATCACAGGCTTATGAACGATGCGGCATCCAAGCTATAAACCTCACTATGACCTCAAGCAAAACGAAAGACAACGAGGAGGGGTATGTTGAGGGAATATACAAAGAGCATGGAATTATACACGAGTAAGCATGGGATAGACAAAACACCAAATCGAAATTCTCGCGTAGACGAGGAACCCAGGTGAGAAAGATTATGAAGTTCATCCGTGTCCGCATGCTCCATGATTATTCACTTGTAGGCATAGCTTCAACCTCGTCACAAAGAGCTCGCCAGTTGTCCGCCTGTAGCTCCGCGTACTTGACTCGTTCCTGGCTCCAGTCTTGATGCAGACGGCTAATATGGTACTGGCTCTTCTGGAAAATATACAACTCGTCACGGACGCACTCCTTTATTAGCACGCCTCGAGCATGTTGCTGCACAATCGACTCCTTGTCCTGAAAAGACGCCGGGTTGTTTAGCCAACGTGTTTAAGAATAAGAGAGCATGATTACTGGGGCGAGTATCTGACCTTGAAAATAGCACCTTCTACCTTCTCAATTTCTCCGGGCTTAACCTGACCCTCAGGTCTGGTTCGCAAATCCTGCAATTTCCTCTCATTGCTTTCAATGCGTTTCTCCAGCTGAGGGATGTTATCCTTGGAAAGTCGTTCATTCCGATCAAACATATCGCGCATTGCAACCAAGCAATCCCGCTGCCGTTTAAAATCCTCCAAAACACCTTCATCCCAAGCTCGCGCCTCATCCTCAAGTAAACCCTGGCTGGTAATAAGGTGTTTTGCTGTAGAGCAAATTCCATCGTTCAATAATGGAATATCGTTCCTATCAACTGCGTATGTATCCCCAGTCGCGTCGGTCAAAGCTTGCAAAGCCCGTGAAAACCTGAATTGCTCAGCGGCAAGTCCCTGGTTACGCTTTGCAAGGCGATCAAGCAAATTGCATAAATTTATGTAGATCTCAGACGACCTACGGACGCCTGAACGAACGGTGTCGAATAACTCCTGAAGATTAGGAGGGAGAGAATCTTCAAGATCTGGCGGGAGTGGCTTGCCAGTGAACTCCTCTTGGACGGATATAGTGGCTTGCTTTCGCCAGATGGATAATTCCTGCTCACAATTAGTGCTTCTAATCAATACGTGATACAATGATCCAAGGCATACCGTAGGTACCGTGAGAAACATCACTACCAATTGTTCTTGGTTCAAAACTGGATGGCGAGCTAAAGCGTTGGCGAAGCGTACGAGGCCCTTGCGTCGCTTGTCGAGGAAAGAATTTGAATCCGCTGTCAGGTGAGTACCATTGACTTTACAAAACGTGAGTATATTTAGGTGAGCTCTTAGCAAGCTTTCAACGTACCTGCTAGCCTCTTTGGAGGAAGTAAAGGAATCTGCCGGAACGGGTACCTCTTCTGCAGACAATCCACCAGCCACACGAAATCGCTATATCGTCTGATAACCGAGCTGCCTCTTCGCGCAGATTTGACTTCGTAGTTCCGATGCTGGAACATAAACATGCCCTCTTTTTCCGGAAGCATATGAATCGTGATGACGTCCTCGGCTCCATTATTACTCATTCCCCTTCCTCCAAGAGAACGTGATATGCCATTGGAGCCATGGTTCCCTTGGTCGTCTCCTGACTGACCAAAACCACCGCCAAAACCCGACTCTCCTTGGTTCCGAAAATCACCGCTCGATGGGTTGTTGAATCCTTCGCCTCCCCAGCTAGGCGCACCGCCTCCGGAGGAAGGGACACCAGAATCTGGAGGTTGGTTGCTATCGGCAGCCGACCGTGTCTGCCTGTTGTCGGCAGTAGGGAAATTGTTATTGATGCTATTTATGCCGGGCCCTGGAGACGTAGCAAATGATCCATTCGTATTAGCTCGATGCCGATTCTCATACGAATTGTGGCGGCCACGGTGCGACACCGGGGTCGCCCACGGGTCGGATTCGGGGTCTTCAAAAGAATCGTGGCGCATGCGGCGCGGGGTTTCAGACTGATGAGAATTGCCATTGGTGTTATTTGGGGCCTTTAGCTTCTCGAGATAGGGAATATTCGGTTGGGGGAGTCCTAGGAAGCGGATATTGTCAGTTTGGCCATACTTCATATACATGATTGATGCTTACTTTTCCGTCGTTCATCAACCGTATCAAGAGTCAAATCCTCGCCCTCTTGTGCCAATCCCACCAAAGCCAAGAATACATTGAACTGGCTTCTTCCAAGACTCCCAGCCGTCACTTCCCCTCCAGGCGCTACGATATTCATAATCCTAGACTGCTGCTCCGAGCTCAAATGCGTGCTGGTAAGCATTCTCCGCGCGGTCCCCACTCCCACGCCAGCGTTTCCCCGATTATCACTCGAGCCCAGGGTTATATCGTAAGCATCGACATAGCTTTCGGGCACATCCGTAGGAGGTAGTAAAGACTTCAAAACCTCTTGTTTCGAAATTCGTTTAGATGCCGGCATATTCCAGGGCGAAGGGTCGTCGACACGGGAGTCGACGTCATCCACGAAGAGCGAGGATGATTGGGCGCCAAAAGGCGAGGCTTCATCGGTAAACAATGAGGGTTTTGATTTAAACGATGAGTTCCTCCCCGCTGCGGGAGATTCGTCCGGTGAAGACCCAAAAAGAGACATTGGGGGGAGTGTCGTGAGAGCGTGAGGTCGAAGCAACGGTGAGGACTGGGTGTCGGCAGAGGCGCAGTTCACAGGTCAAGAAGGTTGCTGGGAGCGAGCTGGCTGGGAATAGTCGTGGACCTGAAGTCACAAGCAAGACAGTCTATATCGTTTTTGCTCCGCAAAGTGCAGAATATTGCTGCTTCTCAGTTGCAGTTGGTTGGGTGCAGCTAGAACAGACCTTGTTCAGCAGCAGTTCCAACCTGTGGAGCAGCCGCAAGCTCCCCCCGCCAAACGCAAAGCATCACCAGCCACTTCCACGAACAACGGATATCCCTGAGCTGAGAAAATCCAGACATCAAAGAGACACAAGCTCCGATGACAGAAATCATGAGAGCGGTACATTTTATTACTTCATTATTTCATTACCCCTAACTCCTTTGAAGATCATCCACTACGCCTGAGCCGCACCCTTCCAGTAATATGTACTCCGTAATCTCCGTTTCCACTGCCTAAGAATCTGACGCAGGGGGTTCCGGCTCCCAAACCTTTATGACCAGCTTCCCCCCCGCGTGTCCCCCAGTAAACTGATCGTATGCGAGCGTGGCTTTCTCCAACTCCCAGACTCCGCCCACATGAGCCTTCACCGCGCCGTCCAATACAACTTCGCGACACTTTTCAAGGGCATCGGCATCCAGAAACGCGGATATCTGTCTATACGTTCTGGGAACCCCGCCCAGCCAGCTTGGCAATAGAGTATTCTTCATAACCTTCCAGAAGAAACCAGGTATGGCGGAATATGCGCAGCCGACTTTAGGCCCGACGGTTGCATAAACATGATCACGACCACTTTTGAGATAGCCCGAGCAGGCTTCCCAAAGCTCTTGGCTGCCATATGCGTCGAAAATAGCATCAAATTTACTCTCATTGCCATAGCGTGATTTCAAATACTGCGTAAGGCTCCAGTGTTCGCTGTTCGAGAAAGACTTGTAATCAACCACTTCGTCGCAGCCGAGCTCCTTCGCGAGGGATTGTTTTGCCTCTGAGCATATACCCACGATGCGTCCCTCTGGGTAGCGATGTCGAAGTAGTTGCGTTGCAAAACTCCCTACTCCGCCACAAGGTGCGTTGATGAGCATGGCAGATTTCGGGGGAAGCTTCACGGAATCGACCAGCGTTATCGCAGTGTAGAGCGAGACACTCAAGGCAGAGGCCTCTGCATAAGAGACGCCATTCGGCACCCGGGCAACGCAAGACGAGTCGACAGCGACATACTCCCCCAGTGCTCCCTGGCCACTGCGTAGATGTACGGGGACCTGAAAAGAGCCAAAAACCGGCGTCCCAACCGGAAAATGGCGAGTGCAAGGTTCCGGCCCTGTTAAAACCTGCGACCCAGTTTTGACAACAACTCCAGAAAAGTCGGTTTCCGCAATAGCGGGAAAGCGGCGGAACAGCGAGGGGACGAGGTGCATCATAATGACAGTTCCCGGGTGCAGCGCCACGTGGGAAACACGGACGAGAACTGATGTTTCTGACGGTAGAGATGGAACTGATGCATCTTCTAATGATAAAACTTTGGACGGCGAACCCGGCCAGCGATGGACCATCGCGCGCATCGATGGGGGTATGGCCGCCATAGCTGAGTCTCTGGGCCACAAGTAATGTAAAAAGTGTTTATGGCAAAGAATTAACCGCTGAGATCAATGTGGTAGTATCGGTTCCTTCGGGTATCTTTATTTGAGAATCCACAGATGACCATGCCTCTGTCAGCTACGTGGCCTCATATTCGAATATCCTTCTGCCTAAAGAACCGCCAGGCGGGCGCTTGGACTGGCATTATAGAAACGTGAGATGGCTCGAATATTCACTGGTCAGCTGAGCTTCCAAGAGGAAAGGCTTTCCAATGCCCAGAGAAGCAAAAGATCGGGTCGATGTCAACTCTAGGCGGTTCCAGGGCCAGAAGGGTGGTTAATGAACCTTGCAAGCCTGGACCTTGGGATTCAAAGACACGATTGATGCTCGTGTTGGAAGCACGCCAAGTACGGCTGATCGCGCACCTTCAGCCACCGGAATCCAGCCCATCAAAAGAACTTTCTTAATCCCCATGACGCGAGAATGTAATTATAAGTTTCTACAATGATGATTCAAGATCGTGAGATCCAGCTCATATTCAACTCAAGATATTATCATTGTATTCATCTCATCCACCTGTCAGCTACTAGATAGCTCTTCCAAGGCAGAAAAAATAAGCATTCTCCTAGATAATCAAGAACATATCCTCGTAGAGGAAGAATGGCGGCGGGAGGAAAGTTTCATTCATTAGACCAGGCCAGTCGGTCCATGTTAAGATACAATGCCCATATCATGCAAAGCAAGGGACGAAGGGAGGTATTCACACAAGCTAAATATCGAACATCTCGGGTAGTTTTACTTCTGAACAGTGTGGGGATAGCGCGGGGGGGAAGAATGAAATTGGGAGTGGTTAACAAGGTCATAAAAAGGCAATAAAACTTCTCCGATATTTGTGTTGTTCCTCAGAGAAAAAGTCTGTCATGAACCTTCAAGGCTTTGCTCCAGATCATCCTTTTTGCGATGCCGCTGTCTATTGTGGGTATATTCTAGAGAATTTTATCAGTGTAGACTGGAACAGCCAGAGAAGCCAGGACAATTAAAGGTTCAGTGGGCAGAAATGAAATGCAAATCATTCAGAGCTCTGGCAGGAAACAGAGTACAAACAAATATTAAAACAAGACCTAAGGAGGGAAGAAAAACCAAGTCATTAGATCGTAAGACAGAAGATAGGTTTCAATAGATCAAAGTGAAGCCATAGAGATGCGCAATCATTGAACAAGTTCCGGCAGATGGGAGTTCACATGAGATCATCAAATTTAAAACCGAGCATAAAATGTGCCTTAGACACCAGATGCGCCGCCAAATATCGTCCTAAATCATGAAGAAGAGGCGGGAAAGGAGCTAATCCTCGAATAAAAATTGCAAACTAACATCCGAGCGATTGTCGGGCTTTAGACGGGGTAGACTGGTACTATGCGCCGGAAACTGAGATCAACACCTGCTTGTCGCTTTAGGGCGACACGAAATCCGAACAGAAAATGGGCCGATCGGCTTACCCTGCGAGGGAATTTTGCGCTCGCTCTCTCATGCGCTGTGCTTGAGCCTCAAGAGCGCTAACCATCAACTTGATCACTGGAAGGAGGAATTAGTCACAAACCAGAAAACGGGTTCTACAAGATAGCTAACCTGGCCAAACTCCTGCACGGTCCAACAGATAAGCTATCGATAGTGAGATCTTGCTTGCATAGCCACCTTCCATCAAGCTGGGTAAACAATTCCATGCTTCGCCACTGCTGGAACATGGGCTCGGAGCACAGTCTTTCATCTTCGTTTCAACGCTGTGAAGGATATCCTCGATTTTTCGAATCAATTTATAATCTTCATCTTCCAAAAGCATGATGGCCGGAACCTGTGTTAAATCCATCGGAACTTGGCCAAGGATTCCTAGGTAAGGCCCAACGCGCTCCTGAACGGTACTAATCCACTCAGCTAGTACTTGCGCGCAGTCAAATAGACACATGGCGCTTTGAAGTGGAAGTTCCCGAGACGTGAATTCAATGAAGGTGTTGCCAAATTTGTCCGCCATGCTGATGGAATCTGCCGCATAAAATGCAGCCTTCCGCAAATGTCGTTCACATTTCGAAGATTTTGCTCGACGACTGGAGGCTGTGTGATAAGCTGCTTCTAGATTAGGGTCGTTCCCAACTCCGACATCCAAGTTATTGAATTCAGACATTAATTCTTGGCCAAATTCAGAATTAGGGCTTCCATCTGACGGCTGGAGGACCTCCGCAGCTCTGGAGAGTTCGTCAACCATGCCGTTCCAATCACGTTGCCAAAATGCCTCTCTTGATCGACCCAAGTTGACATATAACCTAACATAAGCAAGATCCAAAAGAGGTATGCTATCTGCGGATAACGGACCCGCGCCATACGGATTTGGCCTCTCCAAACTATGGCTGGGATTGCTGCCCCATGCGGTTTGCCACGCTCGGAAAGCAGGTTCAATATGCACGTGTAGAGCTTCAGTTTCCTGGCTCGTCCATTGTTTCCCCATATGCTGCTGGCGTGTCTCCCAGATATAATTATGAAGGGCATGTATTAAGACCAAACATCCAAAAGTGCTCGGGGTAAGATCAGAAGGAGATAAGCCGTCCATCTGCTTACCAGCCCCAAACTGGTTATGCGCTTGAGGATTATGTTGTCCGGCGACAAGAAGTGACTTCAGGGCGTCAGAGAATTTAATCGCAGTTTGCTCTGTTCGTACTTCGCCACCTAACGACATCCACGCTTCTGGAGAATCGGCGGCCCAGATTTCTTCGTCGCACGGTAAAGTTAAGCGGATTTCCGAGTTAGTAAGGGCAGGCGCATGGTTGTAAGCCGAAACCAATAAGCTCGATAAGGTGAAAATCGAATATAGAGTCCGTTTTCGCTCTTCCACCACTTTCCACTTTAGCCATTCTCTTCTCTCTGGAGAGATGTCTGGTGACTGAACGTTCCAACAATCACCATAGCCGTTCCCATCAATTCCAGTTGACGAAAACCCGAATTGGTCCGCCAGGAGGCTCTCCGGAGGGTGATAGTGAGTGAGCTCTGCGGCTCTCGCAAGACTTACCAGCGCTGCGCAGTGGGTGCTTGCAATGTCCGCTGCTGTTTTATCATCGCAGTTATGACCATATATGACGTTGAGTAACATTGCTTGAACAAGCCATAAGGGAGTATTTTGCACTGAATTGTCGCGCCCGGAACTCGAGCGATTGAGAACAGCCAAATCCGCTTTCCGCCGTTCTTCGAGATACAATTGAATCATTTTCTTTGCGGATTCAAACAACTCCTTCGAGGTTGCGGTTTCAAACTCATACAACGCACCAATAGCTGCCATGGATAGGAGCAAACAGCCACTATCTCCGGGAGGATAGGAAGAGTTTGCATTTCCGTATCCATTAGCGGTTTTGAATTTGTTCGCGTGTTCCGGTGCCTTGAAATCAAGGGTTGGGATATGGAGGAACGGCATATGAGGATGGAAATAAGTTATATAGGCTGAAATATAACGCTGAAGGTCATGTGTACTAGGCAGCACCGCTGAGCTGCTCTCGAACATAGCTAACCGAATATTTCCAGGCAAAAATGCTGAGTTAGATGCTGGTTGCGAGTACCGGCGACTCGTAAAACTTGACGGTCGCTGTAATGCTGCCATGAGAGCTTGTCGCGTTGAGTCCGTGATGGTGTTAGCATACGCCGGTAACGCTGGAGACATGAAGTTGGTTTCGTATCCTGGATTATTTGAAGTTCCAGCATTGTGAAACATATTGTGGGGTATGTTAGAAAGGGTCGAGCCTCCCATCGATGCTAGAGATGGTGACGTTGAGAACGAATGGTCGGGGACAGGGTTTAGGAGCGATTTTGGAGACACTGTTCCAGTGTGGCCGGAAAGATCTTGGAAAGTGGTTTGAGGGAAATCCAGCCCGAATTGGCTTGGCTGACTATGAGAAAGCAATGTGTTTGACCAGGGTCCTGAAGAGGAGGTTATAACGTGATTGGAGGTATCCAAGATATCTGCACTGATACCACCAGGGCTTCCTGTACTCATTGCCGATGGGGAAGAATTGTCAATGGCGGATTCGTTCGCACTTAATTTCATTGTATTATCAAAGCCGTTGATCCAGTCGTACTTTATGTCATCATCGTAAAGGTTCCGGGCAGCAGGCATATTCGAAAATGCGGGAGTGAAAGGCGAGGTAGGCGTATCGAGGAATCCATTAGGTGAACCAGAGAAATGCAACTGGGCTGGATTGATTGTGCTCCCATGGCCCATCATCATGTCTCCAAGTCCAAAATCTGTGCCAAAGCTTCCAAAAGCTGGAGCAGTGCGAAGACCATCCGATAAATTCAAGGGAATAGCGGCGGTATCAAGCTTAGTAAGACCGTTCATCGTAGGATGACGGTTATCCGAAGGCATCCCGCGAAAGTCGAGTCCGGGCATACTTGGTACTGAGCTGAGACTTGGGTGATGGGCATGTCCAGCCTGGGGCGTCCTTGACGAGTCGCTGGTGTTCACCACTCCCAAAGCTGGGCGGTCCACATGGCTGATAGTATTGGCTCTTGGTCTCATGCTGTTCCCGCCATTTGCAATCGAATTTTTTCTAACACGCGTAGAACTACTTGTGCTTTCCCTTCGAACATTACGTGGACGAGATGAAGGCGTGGTAGTCATGTGTAGTTTCTGCTGGTGCCTTAACAAAAGGTCCCTTCTTGCGAAACATCTCGTGCAATCTGGGCATTCAAATGGTTTTTCCTTGGTATGCGATCGCTCATGGCGTTTGAGATGCTCTAAGCGTGCGAAAGACCGCGTACAGATTCCACAAACATGTGGCCGAGGCTTCTCGGTTTTTGGCGGGGGTATATTTGGATTGGAGGCTTTATGAGCGTTGTTTGTAGATGTGCTAGTGCCACCTGTTTGTTGTACTGAAGCAGCCATAAGCAATCATTAAACGGAAGTAAAAGACAAAACGAGATTGGTATGCAAGTCTTACCCGGACCACTATTCACAACTTCATTGATTGTCATAAGGTCCTGGCTCTGTTGGCTACTGGAAACATTTTGATCTGCCATGATACTAAACCTGATAGAAATGTTTTCTGGCCCACTGTTAGATGTTTCCCTTCACAGCACCAAAGAACGAAGGCTTATAGTAGAGCAACGGTAAGGGGTTTCCCTTTGGAATGAATTGAGGATATGGAGGCAAAAGGCCAACAGAGGCTGGATACGCACAGTCAAATATAAAAAGGAGACGGCCGTGGCTTTCACCACATTTGCTATAACATTGGCCGTTAGCATGCATCATCAAGGCTGTGAAGCCCAGGTGTTTCGACCAAGTCCACCAGCTAAATTTAGGACATTGCGTCGAAAATCCTGAGAGTATCGAGGTTGAGAAGTTATAATACCTGTTTCAGCTAAGTCCTAGTCCCGGCGGGTAATAGCTAACAAGTGAACGCGAGCGATCCGAACGAGGAAGTATAAACGGGAGTGAACGCGGGTCAATGGCCAGGGTTCTCATGAATCCTATCAGACATCGGTTAGCATCCCCAACTACTCGAATGCGAGAGATTCAAAGCTGGTGTCAAACAATAGGATGCATGATTCCAGCACCAGGGATTCAAGGGGAACGCCGCTAGGAAGCGGTGCTTCGCCACGTCAACGCATAGGTAGGCAGGCTCACTTTTAATCGTACACGGCTCCGGCAACGATGGAACGGGAGGGCAGCTGCTCGCGCTGCGGCTCAGGGTTGAAGCGCCGCGATTGAAGCCCTCATTCAGGGTGGCAGAGGACAGAGCAAGTACTCGGCGGCAAACGGGGGAACCTCAGGTAGTTAGGTGAGCTCCAATTGTCGACCTCGAGCATGAGGTGCTTTGGCGTGGTCCGTGGGCAGAGCTGGATCGTTGACTCGCAGCGGGTTTCAGCCAGACGGAATAGTCGAGGGTTGAAGAGAAATTGACGTCTGAACCTCGAGCGTCGACGTTGCGGTCGGTTCGTTTCTGACGAGTTGAGTTACTCCTGGAGCCGCTCTCGGCTGGTGGCTGTCGCTGACTGTTGTCTGGGGTATGGTAACTGTCGTACAGGTGGCTCACGGTACGGCGTACGGACTACGGAACTATGAGTAGCATTGACGATACCGGTCCCAGATCGGTATTACCCACTTTACAAGACGATATGTAAGCGTAATTACTTGCTCTTGAACTCTTTGCCTCCGAAACAAGCACTGCTGAAGTTCCACGACGGCGACATGCTCGTCCATTCATATCGGTCCTCGAGGCGCCCAATCTCCATTTAACGACACCTTGCCGATAATCTACGGCGTCCACTTGAAGATTGAGCTATTTATATAAGTTTCCCACGTCGATTCAGCCCGGTCCTGCTCGTACAACATGGAACAGGAAGAATTGTGAAAAACAAAGACACCGAGCCATACCAGACTCGGTATGATTCGTAAGTTAATCTACAGTGAAAATGGGAAATTGGAACCGCGTTGCTGGAAAGAGACCTTGGATCAGCCACTTGCCAGTGGACGGAAGTATATGATCAGCATCCTCGACGTTTCCGATTGAGAAGCGCTTTTGGCGACAAGCCGACGGGCTTGCCTTCTCCAACGGCTCGAGTCAAAGTCGCCTGAGATACTGCTGACGGTTGAATGCGCATAGGATCGTTCAAAACAGCAACCATCAATGATCAGGAGCTGATTGGCTATCAGGTCCCACAGCAACGGGCGGCATCTCAGCCACGGACTGTGGCATTTGCCTGACAAAATGACGTCTCATCGACTAGTCAACAGTCGAGCTCCCCTCGAGTCGTCGGGTGGAAGAAGTGCTGCTCTCTGTTCTCTAGCCGGGACGCCAGCTCTGGCTCGCAATCGCGCATCTCTCGCGCGAAGCAGTAACAATGACAATCAGCCTGGGAGAGACGCCCAGCGAAAGGCGTGAGCTCGGCTGGTGGGCTCTGGAGTCGGAGTTAAGGCCCTCTTGGTAACTCAAGGGGTCAAACTGTAAACGTTACAGGGTCAGGCACGGCTAGCCGAATTCAAAATCGCCAGCAGCCAAGTCCGAACGACTGGCAGTGCCGCTCTCACCGGCAGCAGCTGCGTTTCAACTGCGCAAAAGAGCAGAGCTGCCATGCAAAATATCAAGCCATGGGCTTCTGCTTCCCACAACTGGCGATCATGCGAAGGTCCGTGCCCCAAAATGACACATCCCGAAGAGGGAATTACTGGTACAGCACGGTACGCGGTATTAGCTTGTAATTTCCGACTGGGGGCTTGTAATGCTCCGCGCCCTCCACCAAGAGCCTGACTCGCGCGCTGAGAAACCTGTGGATATCAAATCCTGCGGCGGCCGCTGAGTCGCTGGCAGTGCATTGCGCCCCAAGAGCCCCCGGTTTTCCCCAGCTTTTCTTTGGTTTCACGGTCCTCTCCACGCAAAAACGCTGTGCTCCACTATGATTGGAAGCATTTGCCGCTCTGCTCCAGGGTTTTCCAGAATGGAATGGAACGGGTCCATGCTGCACCAGGCTGCAGCAAGAGTTCATCCCAACGGAAGATTCCGCCCAGCTGATGAATCAAATAACGATATCCAATGATAATAATAATGACTTCTCTATCTGCCTGCACCCGAGCAAAACCCGGCCCTTCAGCAAACCCATCTAGTGATGGAGAAACGCGCTGCTAGAATGTCAAATTGCGCTTGCTAGGCCCTTGGCGAAACCTTTTGATGGCCCCAAATTCGCTAAACCGAACCATGGCTTGGGTTCGATGACAAGAAAATCCGGGGAAGCTCGGTTCTGATTTGACGGCCCTCTCTCCTGGGACTCTTAGTTAGCGAAACTTGCTTTAAGATTTTTTAAACAGATACTACTTTCGATATGCTCGACATCCCAGCAGGGCCCCATGGGCTCTGCCACCATTTATTCGCATCACCAAAATCTCGTGACCACGGCGTCGATATGCTCGCTGATCTGTTGCACTTCAAGCATCACCATAGGGACACTGCCCCAGCCAAACGGATCTTTATGCAAGAAAGTCTGCCGAGGCCGGATATTCCTCAAGCGACGTTTTAACCTCTTTGATAAGCCTGATATTGAACTGGGATTGGCGCTTCGAGAGGGACCTCTGATTCGAAGAACCAAAGAGGACCGATCTTGCAGGCTTCATGTGGCTTGAAAACCGTTCCGAGTACCAGGAGGAAGTTGGTCGCCCTACGAGGTCACCGTGCCAGCTGGACCCCTTGTTACCTGTGGCGCAAGATTCGAAGTGAGCTAGTGGTTAACTAGTTACGAAGCAAATGGTTAACTAACGGCTTTATGCTGATTCTGTACTTGTACTCAGAACATCATGAAATATGATGAAAGCGCTGGCAAATTCGAGCAGTGATGCTCAACTTTTGTGCACCTGCTGAATTGGTTATTACAAGAATAAGGCGCTCATTGATAGGTAGAAACTGGCCACTTTCCTATCATGCTTGGCCCGCTGATGGTCCCCATGATACGTAGCTGTACTATATTCAATAACCACCCCAAGCTTTTAATGCCTATACGATAATACGCTCAAAAGAATATTGCCCAACAGTTTTACCCTTCAAGTAGCCAATGTCACGGAACGTTCGCTTCTTCACTTCACCGGTTGACTTCACCACCTTGGTTTTACTTGGCTCTTCACCGGCGGCATCATCACTCTGGCCGGTCATCTTCAAAGAGAGAGGTAGGATCTTTGTATCAGTGTTCAAAAGTCCAGACTGGTCAGTGGTTTTGTCGTATACCAGGATCTTGGCGCCGTTAACCTGTTCCGTGCGCTTGATGCGCAAACCTACGTCTCTTGACTGTTTCCTGGCACGCTTGCTCGGTTGGCGCTGACTGATGTCCTTGGCTGTCTCGCAGCAGCGGATAAATTCGCGCAGAATGCCCTTGAGGTAGGTCGCTTCCTCAACTCCAGCCAGTGCTGCGGAAACTTCTGATTTCATCTCCGCGACGAGAGAAACTTCACTGCCTTCGGCTCCGGCAAAACCAGCAGCTGATATCCATCCGCTCGGTCCCACGGCGTCTATACATGCATTGAGTAAATCCACAATGGCAGAAAGCGGAAGGAGAGGGATCTTGGGGCTTGCGAACGACGGTGGCGCATCTTCTGTGAATCGGGAGGTGTAGCCGCTGGTTGCCAGTGAGTGGCGGAGGTGGTGAATGATGGAGAGGATGTCGGAATTAGAGAGAACAGATCGAATTGATCGCGTCACTTTGTCAAGAGGGTGAGAATGAAGTTTCAATAGAGTCAAATTCAACCCCGAAACTGCGTCTGTCAAGACTGCCTCAGCGCTCGGTGATTGTTTAGAAGTCACTGGTGTCACCTCCTTTGCTGTACCCGGGTTTTGTTTCTGGGGAGACTCCGTTAAAGCTTTGGGTGGCTCGGCAGAATTTGAAGAATGGGAGCGTGCAACATCCAATAGTAGCTTCAAAGCATGTCCAAGTTCGATGGTCTCAAAATGAACTGAACTGCGCAGAACGAGGAGCAATACTTTCACAGAGCGGCCCGACTGCGCAAGAGCCTGAACCAAGGATCCATCTGGGATTGCGGGGAGTATGCGATCAGGATTGGAGCTGCGGAGTGCGATCTGGATATTGCTCATACTCAGATGCCGTGATCCCACCAGCCACTGAAACGTTTCGAAGGGGAGGAATCTGATAGTAAGCTTAGGAATGTCCGAATCCCCTTCGGTAACCAAAGAAAATATTTTGGAAAGCAAAAACGAAACTCTTTCAGGGTCGACGTAATCCTTCGCGGAAGGGAAACCTTTAGGATTCTCGAGGCTCGGGTTCAACGATTTCCAAAACTTCGCTTTCATGATTTGATCGAATTTCGCGGGCTCGTTGGCCTTGGATGCGGAATCTAGCTCTGACTTGACTTCGGCCCAGTCATCGGCAATACCATTGTTCGTAAGTCCAAGCGGCTTCACGAACTGCAACGAGCTACTGTCAAGCGCCGGCCTTTTGGCGTCACTGTCAGGTCCTCCTATTCCTTTTCCAATTGAATCGATAAGAAAACCAGTCCTCTGCCTTTTCCGGGACATGTCCCCCCAGTTGTGAATTATTGCAAGGTCGAACGCTAGCAGAGCGCTTCCACAAACAGCAACCACCAAGCTGAGTTTAGAGAAATACGTTATGTACTCCAGAGAAGAAACTATCCCCGCCTGCTTGTTGGAATTGATTTGTGGAAGCTCCGTTACGGGTAGATCCGCCTGCAGTGATCGATATTTTGCATCGTAAAGGGACACTGTCGATTGATTCGCCCCCATAACTGACCGAGGCGAGATCCGCATAACAGATGAAAAGCTAGCGTTGGCAACAATCATATGCGAGTCGACCTCCGGGGTATAGTGCGACAGATTGTAACTGATATAACCTTGATCAAATGATAGTGATAGCTCGGCTTGGTTTAAGTTTGCAGACCAGTTGACGTTTCGAGCGACCAGAGGTGTTTGCCCAGGTAGATCTGCCAGTTTCATCTTCAGCAGATGTCTCAATCGTTGATTTTCATCAACGATGAAATAATTTGTAGGGCTGTGAACGGGAATTGAGAAGAGATGCACAGCTACTTCGCTAGGTAGAAACGTCTTCGATTGACGGGGATGCAAAACGAGCATCAGAATGGTGGATGAATCGGAACGAATTCCATGTCCAGCGCCCAGAATCGACGCAACCAAATCTTGTCTTTTTTTGAAGAGGACTTTCTGAGCATCTTCAAAGCTTACGACGAATCCTGCATGGACATGATAATCTCCAAGAAGTTCGTTGGCGGGACGCAGGATGTTCCACCTTTGCGTTTTCATGTCGGACGATAGCCTCCGTACTTGGCCATTTTCATGAACGACGATCAGATCAAACGCCTCATCTTGTTTGTTCGGTGATTGGCTCGTGGGAATCACGGTCATGAAAACAGCTGGGCTCTCGCAGTCATCCAAAGCGAATACTGACGTTGAGAATTTTGCCGTGCTCCGATCAGAGGCGCCAAATTCCTCAGCAAAGCATTTTATCTGCCTCTCCGGTTTATCCACAGCGCAATAGGTGTATCTTTTCACAATGGACGTCTCCGCGGATTTCTCTCTCACGGAGCAAGGCGGGCATGATAGGGAGGATTGGGGAGGGATCGCATAGGAGGATATCAGTTTCGGAAATTGAACCTTCCATAGAATTAGCCCCGAGAACTAAGCAAGCAAATGCGACGTACGCTGTATATATTCACACTCTCGCCATCTATGGCGGCAGCAACTTCATATCGCTTTCTTTTCTTCCCCCCAGCGAGACTGTACACCTCGGAAAACCGGCATTTACCCGTACTTCCACCCAAAGGCCTGGGTAATTGGGCCAAAAGCGACGGTGCCTGTAGAGCCATGATCACAAAATTCCCAGTCCTAGCTCAACAACACCGCCGCAAGAGCTGCTTTCTCCGGTGTTCGTCGAACTGAAATTCTCCAAAAAAAAGAAAATGGCAGCCGGATCGGAGAAACGTGCTGCCGACCAAGCCACAGCTCACCAGCCCAAACGCGAGATGACGCGCTCGAAAACCGCAGATTGAATCGAACGCGAAAAGGCAGCGGTGTTACGCCGGCAAGGCTATACTTAACCGGCATATTTATTTCTGGCTTATTCCTTTCTTCTATTGCGTACCAGCTCTCAATCCATCACGATGTGGTAATTACTGTGATGGCTACAATACTCAAGGCCATGGGGCAACATGATCAACGAACCCTTCATCCCTTCTTCAAGAAACGTACGAAGGCTGTTTCTTCCGCTATGAACTTTAGATCGTTAGCTAATTGTATTAGATGGCACCAATTCTATAGCAGAATTCCCCCAACTCGCGAATCCCCAGCTCAAGCAACTCAATAACCAGCCGCCATGCGAAACCGTTGACGCCGGTTCGGATTTTGCTCCGGGTCACTACACAAATCAGGATGAAAACGAAGAGTTAAGCCGCAGAAAGCGCCGGAAAACGACACCTCCGAGCCGGGAAGATGGCCGACATGGCCCAGAATTGCTCTCACCAGATACAGTCGAGCCCGAGGCTGTAGACCTCACGATCTCACCCCCGTCGAATGACGTTGAAGAGAGGCCAGCTACGGCACGATATTCGCTACGTAAAGCCACAGCTAGCTCTACCCCGGTTAGATATACGTTTGACGATCCGCTCAAGGATGGTCTTCGGGGAGCCAAAGTCCTCCAACTTAACCCCAATGGAAAGCTTTTGAATCTGCCTGCTCAACCCAGCAATCAAGAAAATAAAGAACTAAAAAAGAGAAGCCGCCGTCGCAAAAATGAACCTGACGTTGAGCCGTCCAAACTAGCTATATTGAAATATGGGAGCGGAGTGCTGTCACGACAATATATCGGAGGTGCAATACATGAAATCATGGGTGGCAATACGACTTATGCTCTTTTCAAACAACGGATAGGACTGCCGCAGCGGGCCCCGGAACCACCCAAACCTACCCATTCGTTCTTTTTGAATAGACAGCCGCCCAAAAAGGTTGACGGCGAGCCACCCAAAACCAATACCCAGGATACAATAGCTACACGTCCTGAAGAGCAAAAGCAACCTATTCCTAAGCCAACTTGGCCGCATGTAACAATTGCGATCCCGAGGCCGTCTTCAATCAAAACCATCAATCCTAGAAAGGGCAACGACCCCGTTGAACCCTTATGGCCCCCGCTTGATATGGTTCGCATTGACGGAGACATACCGCGTGGCGCTCGTAAACCAAGCAAACATATATTGTTTGATCAGAAAAAGTCCAAAGGGCCAGCCGCCAATGTACCCGACCCAGAAAGTATTCTTGGGATGGTTTCACGCTCGCTCAAAAAGGATCGCCTTGCGTCTCTGCCCACAGAATCTATCCTTAGGCACCCAAAAAGGACTCTTCAACAAGGGCCTATCCTGACAGAAACAATTGCTTCAAATCTGCATGGGCCCTCAAAGCAAGGTGCTGCTAATGGAGACATGAAGGTTCTTTCTAACAGCTCAAGCCAGATCGATTCATCACATCCCGCTGTCACAGCTTTGCTATCTTCAATTGCAACCACTAGGAGCTCCTTTGAAAAGGGCGGCTACGATGACTCGCCATGGACCCAAAAGTATGCCCCCAACACAGCTTTGCGTACCCTTCAGGCTGGCTCGGAGGCGGTAGTGTTGCGCCAATGGCTGCAAAATCTCACAGTGTCATCCGTCAATACCGGCACCAGCAAAGCAGACGCGAAAACTTCCAAATCCCACAAAGAAACCCTTAAAAAGAAGAAGAAACGAAAGAGAGGCAGCGATATCGATGATTTTATTGTTTCCAGTGGCGACGAGGAGTCGCGCATGGATGAACTAACCGGCGATGACGACGGCGAATTGGCAGGTGCTGTCACAGTCTCTAGAAAGACTCTTGTGCGAGCGGGAGGGTTATTATCAACAACCGATATTACTGACAATAAGTTGCCTCTTTCAAATACAATTCTCCTTAGTGGTCCTCCTGGCTGTGGGAAATCAGCAGCAGTCTACGCAGTTGCGAATGAGCTTGACTTCGAGGTTTTTGAAATCAACCCTGGAAGCCGCCGAAGCGCAAAGGATGTGGTCGAGCGGGTGGGAGATATGACTCAAAACCACCTCGTACAGACCCTCAAACAAATGGACAGCAATGCCGCGGTTAGCTCTGATATTGGGTCCACCTCGCATGGAGGTGACAAGCAAATCTCCATGGGTAGACTTTTCAAACAAAAGCCGTCATCGAGCAATCCTTCGTCCACGTCGAAAACGGTTGGAGCCACAAATAATGGTGGTCAATTTAAGAAACTCAAAACAAACCAACGACAGTCCCTTATTCTCCTTGAGGAAGTGGATATCCTTTTTGCGGAGGATAAGCAATTTTGGAATGGCGTATTAGCATTGATCGCGCAGTCTAAAAGGCCAATCGTTATGACTTGCAATGATGAAGGGTTGCTTCCAATGGATAATCTGTCGCTTCATGCGATCCTTCGCTTTCGTCCGCCTCCGCCAGATTTGGTTGCCGATTACATCTCAACTATCTGCGCCAACGAGGGCCATATAGTGGATCCGAAAGCCATATTTGATTTATATACGGTCCTTGGGAAAGACCTGCGTGCAACAATAATGCAATTGAACTATTGGTGTCAGATGGCTGTGGGCAGTCAGAAGTCTGGGCTCGATTGGATAGTTGACCGCCCCTTGTTGAGTAAATTTAAATTAACCCCAGATTTACCCAGGATTTTGAGCTTGGACACATATATACGGGGAATTGGATGGGTTCCCAGAGATATGGTCGTTGGCAGAGGCGACACAGCCGAAAAAAGGATTCAGCTTGTAGCGGAACTACTCGAACAATGGCACATATCAGTGATGGACTGGGTGGAACTGAGACTGGCCGCAAGTCGCCACAATGAGAGACATAACTTGAAGTCGTTGGAACAAGTCAGCTTTCTATCCGACATGGAAAGCTCTCTTGACCTTCTATGTCGGGGAAACGACCCTTCCCAGGTAAGCAGCTTAAACGAATTCTTGGTTTTCAAAGCTGACCCCTGCAGGCTATGCTAGATTACTCTTTGCCCCCTACGCCCGGCGAGAAGCAACACCTCGACTATATCGAAGGTCATCAGTTCATTCAAGCAGACAGTATCCCAGACTATAGCGGAATGTCTAAGAAACTATGTGTCACCTTAAGCGTGCTGCTTGAAAATGTACTTTCTGATTCGTCTCCGGACGAATATGAGCGAGATATAATCGAGCACATCTTACAGAGGGCCGTGTCCCAAACATCAGTTACGACGCATCAGTCCATGTTCGAAAGAGCATTTCGTCCTATCCTTGATGGTTCCGACTACCCGACTCCAGCGTCAGGCCTTCGGCCACTCTCTTTTGAACATGGGACGTCTATACTTTCACAGGATGTTGCGCCTTATATTCGATTCATCGTTGCCTGTGATTCGCGAATAGAGCAACAACGACTTGAACAGTCCGGTATTCTTGCGCAAACGGGTTTCGGGGCCAAGAGACCAAGAACAACTCGAGCGAGTCGAGCGGCATTGGAAGGCGGAGACAAAGCGTCTGCCAGGAGGGGAAAATGGTTTTCTGGAAGAGTTGTTCCGGAACAAATCATGCTTACCGGCGGCCCGGACTGGGAGAATCTCCTCTTGCTGCATCTCCAGCAATTATCTGAAGAAAGGTTGGCTAGCGGGACCGGAGTATCAGAAACCGCTTCCAGCGATATCCGGGATTACGTATAGGCTCATATAGAGTTTGCATACCAGTATATGGTAAACTTTTTGATGTGAATATGAGGATAATGAGCTTCCGATCATTTCGTATATATGTAAAGAAGCTAGGAAAATCGGTATCTGCATCTATCAACTGGGACTCCGTTCATACTAGGTCGACCAAGCCGCTAAGGTTTAATGTACACTATTTCAAGGTGCCATAAACTGAACAAAATTGAATGGCATGCTAGGTTCAAGTCAAACGAGCTGCTTTTAAAGGGATAGATCCTGGATTCTAGTCGAGTCTAATGGACAATTGTTTTTTTGTAACGACATCCGACCAGCCCCATCTGGAAATTCGTCAAGCAAGTACGGAGTCATGAATAACGATGCACTCGAAGCAGCATACTGAAAGCCTATTGAATATCGAAAGCGCCCCTTTTCAGACCTCCTCCACTTCCCCTTCGCTGGCCTTTGACTTAGCTGACCCGCTGCCCCAAATAGCTTGTACACGACTGCTTTATACGCTGGGGGAGATTCTCGATTTGCTGGGCTATTGTAAGACTTGTCTTCCTATCTAAGCTCTCCGGTCGAATAAACAGGGGTGTGCTAACCGTTCACTACCTAGTTTAAGAGACATTTGTTACTAGAGTCAATTTGCTTGACCAGCTTTATTGGATTGATTATTATCATTTGATAAGTAGCTACTAGTTTTCTTTCTTCATTATAGTGCGGAGTCAACTGACTGTGAACACTAACCGGAAAACAGGAGTTTTCTATCACTCTGATGTAAAATGAATATCTGGGTGGTGAAAAGAAGCCGAGGAGATGAAGGAAAATACCAGCATACACCAAGTTCATCGTGAAGTAGATCGTTCATTCCGGTGGAATACCAGGGCAGGTGAGCAATAGAATCAACGCCATTTGAAATAGGCGGCGATATGATGGGTTTGCGGATGGCTATCCTCCGGCAGGTGGATTGACTGGCTCCCCCGGGGCACCTTCAGCAGCCGGTGCCTGCTCCGGTTCTCGTTTCAGGCTCTGGTGGCTGTTCTGGCTGTTTCCTGCGGCGCTGGTGTCGACATAGTTTACCTCTTGACATCACGAAAACACATTCTTTGAAGAATCCTCTTTGATGTCCTTCGCCCCAGTCCCCTTTACTTCGTCGTTTCCATTCTCTCAGCTGCTGCCCTGTTGGCCGAGAACCATCATTTGCCGACCGTCCTCCAGCAAACCACCATACCAAAGCTGGAACAACCTCCTCGTCGTCAAGAGGCTTCTTCTTTTTGAACAGGCCCAGACATCCGCCGCGGATACGGAGGCGATTTGAATTATCAACGTTAGGCAAGGGGGTTCTTGCTGTGTGCTCATTAGAGTGTTCCCAATTCTGCAACTTTTCGGCCCTGATGGATTTTCTTTTCGGCAAGCTCCGCGCTTTCTTCATTCTTCTTCTGCTGCGAGCCCATGGTATAATTTTGGTTTTGTGGGCAAGAGATAATTCAATGGGTATATCGAATTTATAGGTATCGACAAGTATTCTGGCTCTCTTGCATCCGCGCATGGAAAAATTATGATTGAGGAAGAGGAAGCCGCATATCTTTTCTTTGGCCATTAGTTTCGGGTTATCAACTATCGCATGGAGTACCTCTAGATCTGCTTGCCGTTCAATAATGTAAAGAGTCGTAAAGGGCATTCCCCCTATAGAGGAATTAGCATCACAGAGTGATAATCCAGTGCCGCCATCTTGGCCCCAAGGAATATGTATTGGGTTCATGGTCGTTGGTCTTTGCGACGTGTAAAGATCATGTATGTACTCCGGTATATATTGTTTGAGAGAGGGCACTGTCGACCTTTATCCTTTATTTCCCAACGTAGTTCTTATAACAAATTTTGGTTGGCTTGAGGAGAATTGGATCCTCCACCCCGAATTCTCTAGCTCAGTTATGAAAGATCGCGGGGATAGACCCTCCCGGGGGGTCTCGGGGTTCTAGGAGAACTTTTAGGATCTTCTGCACCAATTTCACTCGCTGGTAGAGAATTGGGGATGTGATCTTCATCTATTAACTTGGAGAATCCCTGAGCTGTGCGGTCGGCTGTCAAGGGCTTGGTCGTATTCGAGCTTTGCTAAAAGGGATTGAGAATGATAAAGTAGATAATAAAAGAAAGTAGCACACGTTAGGTAGAGGCCTGGGGAATAGGTATGTGCCATGTAGTAAACTGTATTAAGCGGCGGCATGTGCATCGGTATTCATGAAGGTCCTGAAAGCTTTTTATTTGTTCTGTTTGAAAGTAAGTGAAGTATTGGGGAAAAATACTGGCGACAGTTGAATTAACAGCAATGTTTTGTGATGGCGTGGAATTCTGGGTGCATATTCACAAAAGGAGGTAAACCTGCTGCAGATTCTGGTATCAAAAATTTGATTTAGTAAATTTTGAGAGACAGTGAGACTAACATTAGCACACTGATTCATTCGGCCTCTATGACTTGATATTCTGTGCACGCTTTTGCATATCAAGCAAAACTTTGTTGTCCAAAATCCAATAAAAAAAATGTCAACCTCTTCCTTTTTCTGCCTACAGGTGCTAAACGCTAATTGTTTTGAAAACCCTATAGGAATAGTTAGTATAACCAAAAGGATAGAATCAATTTCTGATTGATTTAAGAGAATACATACCCGAAGCCCCCGCTGCCGGTAGCCATAAGAGTTCCTGGCATTTGCCCCTGCCAGTGTAACTCTTTCACCATTTCCATATAATGAACAAACAATAGTTGTGACGGCACATCAGCAAGAGCAGCGTCACGTCCTTCCTCGTCATCCAATTCGACAGCAAGATCCCACAGGGTAAGGGTATTGTCCGCAGACGCGACAGCAACGACACTGTCATCCGTAGGGTGCCACTCTATACTTGTAATAGGCTCTTTGTGGAAACTGAAGGAGGCGACGGGTTTAGGCTTGAGTTGGGAAGGTTTGCTGCTGTCAGGTTTCCAATGCCGGAGATCCCACACTCCCCATTGGCCATCGTCGGCCCCCGTAGCTAGGAGATGGAATGTTTGTTTCGACCAACTCATGACATTCACATCTGTGTTTGAGATTTTCACATCCACGGCTGGCTTCCTAGATTTCGACCGAACATCCCAGACCTTGACACTGCCATCACTACTGGCGGAAGCAAAAACATTTCTTTCATTGGGAGACCACTGGATCTCTTCAACAGAGTATGTGTGTCCTGTGAAAGGACGGGTGTCCGTAATCCACCCGCCTCCTTCGTTACGCGTGGTTACATAAATTGCACCATCATTGTCACCAGTCAAAAGTTTTCCGAGAGGGTATAAGGGAGACCAGTCGAGCGCGTAGCCTTCTGACTTGTGCATTCGCAGAGTCGATAGTGGTTTAAGGGCGGATGGTGGGATAACTAAGCCAGGATTATCGAAGCTGGCAAGATAGGGCGATACATCGTGGATAAGAACCTGGGAATTTTCGAGCATGGAGGCGGTAAGTGTCTGGGGGGCTTTAGTCGGATCATTGGACGAATGCGGCGTCTGATGGGCACGAATCCGATTTGTCGTCGAGCTCAAAGCTATCGATTTGGATTCGAGGATCGGCTCTGAGGGAGAATCGTCATCCGAGTCCGATTCATCGTCTGAATTCTCTCCCTTTTCCCTTTCCATTCTGCTAAGTCCGCTTAGTTTCAGGACCATGAGCTGGTTATCCTTTGAACGTGGTCTGTCGGCCTGTGTTCCGGCGACTGCATATACGGTAGCGGGATAGGATTTTCGATTATCACCTAGATTATCGCGGACGATGTCGAACGACAAACAGGGCCATGGAGTGGTCAAGGTATGGAGCATATCATATGTAGAAGGGTCAGGCGACAAAGTCTCTCCGGGGGCCAATTTCGTTCGACCCGGTATGAAGGTTTGCTTGTCTACTTCCATCGCATCTAATCCCGCCAGAGGTTAGTATTCATCGAATTCCTGGCCGCTGAGGGCAAGACTGGAATGCGCACCGCAATGCCAGTTCTAGGGCAGCCCACGTACCCCTTTCGTCTTCTTCTCGTTCTGCATCTGGACGGCCATCCACGCCGGCTTCGAAAATCTCGTCCTCGCTCTCGAATTCGTCCTCGAATTCATCCTCGAATTCGCCCATCTCATCTGGAGGGGCATCAGGCATTGGTCGCTCTCCGGCCTTGAGCGCGCCGGCGAGCGCATCTGCCTCTTCCGCACCGCGTTTGGCCATGGTCCAAATCCCACAAAGGCGCTCCGCAGAAAACGTGGGTGCTCTCGAGCCGTTGTCCGAAAAAGAAAAATCTCGCGTGTAGGGCTGGCGATGGACTGCGATTAAATTTAGAAGTTCGATTTTTCGGACGCGGGACGCAAGGCGCGCTAGACTGCTTTTGGCGCCTTAGCATCAGAGCGTCATTCCACCTCCCTGGCCGGCTTGTTTACGCTGATCTCGCCGTCTTTCTTTTGAGCAATTCGTTCGGCCGGTTGCAGGCTCGACTTTTCATTCTACTTTCATTCGCTTTAGCTTATTTGTACCGCGGATTCTGCCAACAAAGAAGTGCGCCGCTGGTCTCCAGCTCTGGAATCAGGCAGAATCGACAGAACCTCCAGAATCTACCCACTCCTATTGCTACTCACGGGGGTCATCGAAGCAGTTTTTTTTTAGATTATCTACATCAATGAAGCTTTTTACGCTGCAATACCTCTGAGACTCGAGGGCTAGTTCCAACCGGTTGTCGTCAATACGCTGTCTCGTCGCCGTTTCCCGCCTGACTTCCCCCCGATTCCTTGCAATACCTTTCAAAAGTTTGGATCGCAGAGATGGAAGCTCTATCGATGGCAGAGTTGGATAGGCTGCCGGCGCAGGAAGATAGAGCCCAAACCCCTCAGCCCGCTGTTGATTCCCTGGAGACCCCTCAGGCTAGCGTCCAACCAGAGCATGACATGCCAGCAAACACGGAGGAAACGCAGGCCAATTCTCCTCAGCCTTACAACAGTGGGTTCAGCAACGGGCAGCCCAGCCATCCGACCTCCGTTGACTACGCCCAATCTGCACCTGCTCTGTCGTCACACGAGGGCGACTTCCCCTCGAGGTTCAGCTCGCCGACGATGTCATACCAGCAGCTTCAACAAGCGCCGCAGTCAAGCTCCCGCCCGGGCTCGGGGCTATCGAGTGGAGGTGATCGATATGGTTATGCACAATCGCAGCCGGACCAGAATTCTCGGCCACAAGCTGGGCCGCCGAGCAAAAACAGCGTGGTGATCAAAGTCGGCATGGTTGGAGACGCGCAAATTGGGAAGACAAGTCTTATGGTGAAATACGTCGAGGGAAGCTGGGATGAAGACTATATTCAAACACTTGGTAAGGAGATGCTGGCCGCTTGTTACTTATGCCTGGGAGATCGCTAACAAAACGAATCAGGCGTGAATTTCATGGAGAAGACGATTTCGATTCGGAATACGGAAATCACATTCTCAATCTGGGATCTTGGCGGGCAACGCGAATTCGTCAACATGCTTCCTTTGGTTTGCAACGATGCGGTCGCCATTTTGTTTATGTTCGACTTGACTCGGAAAAGCACCCTTAATTCGATTAAAGAATGGTATCGCCAGGGCCGTGGGTTTAACAAGACCGCAATTCCATTACTAGTTGGCACAAAATATGACCATTTCGTTAACTTTCCCCGGGAAGATCAAGAAGAGATTTCTATTCAGGTTAGTTTAGAGCATCAACTCCCATGTCTCTACTTCAAATCGTTGACGAATGCAGGCCAAGCGCTTTGCCAAGGCGATGAGGGCGAGTTTGATATTTAGTAGCACGAGTCACAGCATCAACGTGCAAAAGGTACGCACTACAGCCTTTCCCGTGGCTACCCTCACTGACCTCTCCTGTTCGTCTTGTCCGAGCTAGATATTCAAAATCGTCCTTAGCAAGGCCTTTGACCTGAAATGCACGATTCCCGAGATAGAGAACATTGGCGAACCACTCCTGCTGTACCAGAATGTCTAATGAGCCCACACGGCTGTTTTTTTTCTCAGGCGGAGTGCTGGAGACTTCTTACGATGACGCCATACTTTGACGAGTGATGGTTTTATATTACGATATTAATCCCATGTTTTTGGTTGCAGACGGCCTACACAACCTGTTAGGCGATACAAAATAAGCTGCCAGCTTGAGGTCGGACCTCATTTCTAGTCGGCACTGAAAATGCTTCGGACACCCGTGGGCAGGTTAACTCATGCCCACTTTTCTGACCACTTCTTGCATCTGGCTGTCGCTTTCCTTGCTCTCTCTCCACCCCTCGTTATCTAGTGTCGGTACATCCCTTGGCCAAGCGCGCGTTTCTTTCTCCAAATGTGTTTTTAGTAGAACAGACAGTCGCAGTGCGTCCAAGCACTTTCATATGTTTCTTTTTGACCTGTACAGAAAGCGGCCCGAGATGAATTGGAAGCAGTTCCCGTAAGCAACTTGAGATACTCGACACTCCGTATTGCCAGGTCTCGTTCGTCATGCGTGAAACCAACACCGAATCTGAAACAGGTGGGCCACCATATCCGAATGGCACCACGCTAAGCAAGGAGCCGCAGTGTTTGCTGGAACGATTGGCTATCGGAGATGAAGGCTGCAATCGCCTCCAATGGGAGTGCCAGGTCTGCTTAGTCAGGGTGCAGTCCTTGTGGCCGGTCCAGCCTTACCCCCAAATCCCGCACGACTAGCCCCAATCCAGCGTATTTCTCCGCCCCATGTAACTCGACTTGGAGGCAACGAGCGGCATTGAGGTTGGCTCGCCATCCCAGTGCAAGGGGGCTTGGATGTTAAAGCCTCTGCAAGGCGGAGGAGTCATCGCTAACTATCGTTCTTCACCGGCGAGCCAGGACATGGGTGGTGCATACACAAAAGGCTTGCTGATGCCGGCATCTCAGTCCAGCCACGCTCTCTCATCGACACCAGGATCTTTCCATGAACGCGTCCGGAGCACGCAAGAAACGGTCCTCTGTCCTATCGTTGATATAGCCTAATCCGCTAAACAGAAGAATTCACTCGTTTTTCTTCAAAATGATCCGCGGGAAGGAAGTTCTACCTCCTCCAACCATCGCGAGGACGGGACAGCAGAAGCCCGCGCTGCCCCAGAGACCCAAACCGCCCGGTCCTCCAGTTCCTTCGTCCGCTGCTCCCCCGCCGCTGCCGGTAAGGAAGAATACGGACCAGTCAAAATCGCGCCCGCCGTTACCACCGAGGAAATCGTCTGATGTGCGCAGATCGAGCGATTCGTGCTTCTCAACTGCGTCTGTATCGACCAACTCCACTGGCATCACCGACCATTCGAGCAATTCGTCGCCGAAATATGCTCTGCGCGCCCCGGCGTTTAGGGAAGCTGAGCTTCCCCCGTTGCCTCCAAAGAAGAATAAAGGGATTAAAGTAGGGGGTCAGGGGACGGGATGCCAGCCATCGGGCCATGCTATAACATCCGGCAGACCATTCGCTTCTGGTGCCACTTCACCAGGGGCACGCTACGATACTGGGCTCGGTTGCAAGAGAAGAAATCTGGCAGTGTTCAATTGGAAGCTCGTCACGTCAATCCCCCGCTCCCGCACGAATGCAAGGGAAAACTCCCTAATAATGGGGTTTCCCGTGTCAACCCCGAAGCTTCCATCTCGGTTCAAGGGCCGTTTACTGCAATCACCCAACCCCCCAGTTACTGCCGTTGAGCATCCAAGCAAGCGTGAACTTTCCAGCATCTCTCAGAGAAAAGATACCACCACCGCCACCTGCACCTGCGGCTCTCAAAAAGATCAGGGAATCCTCATTCGCAACATTGAACAACTCTGATGGCCCAGCTTCGTCCACTCCCCAAATCCCGCCGAAACCAGAATTCAGTCGCTCTTCTGCTCCGCCGCCGGTTCCTGTCTCTTCTCGTCCCGACCTCTCCAAGCTCCAAGCAACTAAACCGCGAATGACACCCGCCAATCACCCTTTAACGAGCCAGGACCTCGTCTGTCTGGACTGCCGTGATTTCTCCGGCCCTGATTCGCACGCTACTCGCTTCCCCCGGCAATCACTTCCGACGCAAGATCTTTCTTGGCTAGCTATGCAGCTTACCGCCCCGTTCCCGTCTGCGACGGATAAAGCTCGAGTTCTTTTCACCTGGCTCCATCATAATATCGAATATGATGTGGTCTCCTTTTTCAATAACAACGTTAAATCAGCGACTCCAGAGTCGACTCTACAAAGTGGATTAGCGGTATGTGACGGCTATGCCGGGCTTTTCGAGCGGCTAGCAACCTATGCCGGTTTGGAGGCTCGGAAGGTTGCCGGACATGGAAAGGGGTATGGGTTTCAAGATCTTGCTCCTGGTTCACCGCTGCCGCAGTTTCAATGCAGCCATGCTTGGAATGTGGTGCGAATTGACGGAGGCAAATGGAAACTCATCGATTGCTGCTGGGGTGCAGGGTGCGTGGACGGGGCGAACAGGCCGTATATCAAACGGTTTGCCCCAGAGTGTTTCACAATGTCGAACGATGATTTTGGCATGCGCCACTACCCGAGCGATAACACACAGTTTTATCGTGATGATGGTCGACCTAGCATCTCCTGGGAGGAATATATTCTTACCAACGGGCCAAAGGGAGTTGGCGAAGCGGTCACGGTGTTCTCGAACTCGGTTGAGGAACATGGCGTTGGCGAAACGACTTTTCAGCCACTGTCGAAATATATCCCCGTCAGCACTCCCGGGCCACTACACTTTGAGTTTGCTCTGATCTGCGAACATTGGACGCTTCAAAAGCACAGCCGCAAGAGTGCGCCGTACGTGTTCATGATTGGTGTTCATGGAATTGACGGGCGAAAGGATGACTATGTTCCGTTCGAATATATTCGTGGCTCGGGCCCGGGTGGTGGCGGGGATCGCTGGACTCTTGATATCCCCGATCCAAGGACGCTGGGGGCCCCAGGGCAAACACTGACATTGTATGCGTTGACAAGCTACGGCAATAATCAAGACGGCAGAGGCCTAACGGTGCGCCAGTACCTTGAGATGAAAGGGAGGACGGCCATGGGTTGGGCGGGAGTTGCCCAGTGGCAGCTTGTCGCTTGAGCTGCATTTGGGAGCCCCGGTGCAACTTCTCTGTCCTGTTCGTTTGGGTCGTTTTGACGATTATGTGCTCCAGTTACGAGGCCTCCGTGATATCCCAGTAGCCTATCTGCTTAGCTCGTTTAGTTTTCCCCTTTTTGCCTCTCTGCTTTCTCCCCTTTTATGCGTGCATTTGACTTTTGTTTGCGACGAATGGTTTGGGACGGGCAGTAATGTAATGATCGGGTATGGCGAATAAAAGAATTATTATCGATATAATATAACGGGGATATGTTGACCAGCGGACTTGTGCGATCTCTCTGTATGGCTCTAACTACCACCGTCCAGTGCGTCTGTTCCACATCCAAAAAACAGGCGTTCTGATTCCAGAGAATCATCTTCCACCCAGTGCTCAACCCTCTGCCCGGCCGATTCAGTAGGCGCATCTTCATCACATGTGTCGACTTGTTGTGTTCACCACAAACCCCACAGGTTCTTCGGACATTTTCCCTTGGGTGTCTGGCGATCAGAATAAGGTATGTTTTAGTGCTGCAACGCTAAGTTACGGTTGCAGGCGTCCACAAAGCTTCTTCGTGTTCTGGGGGCTCGTTAAGCTCCCTCCTCCGCATCTATTGAGGCCAGGGTTGCATGTGGCTAGCGGACGCCTCTTCCGTCAGTCAAGGGAAACTTCAAACCTGTGCTAGTGATAATATCAAGATTGAACGAGTATTTCTCTGTCTGATGTACTTTTAAGACGATGGGAAAAAGGGGCAGGTTCACATAGCTAACTATGGGGTCGCTCAGGCCGTTTGAATAACGATATGGGATCGCACGATTCTGCTTTGGAGGCACGACAGGAGAGCGCTGTGTGCAACCGTGGCGCAAAATTCTACGCAGGATCCCGAAAACGTCAGGGCCAGCGGTCAGTTTCATTTACTTGACCCAGGAGCGAGTTGTGTAACTATGTGAACGTAGCAGCGTTAGTGGCTCTGATCAGCGTCAAGTTGAATCAACACATCGCTCTGCTTCCCCGGGCCACGCGGGGCTGATCGTCGCTCGATTTATACCCGCAAGTGGCAGTCGGTACGGAAATCTGGGGTGGTCCCATTGACAATTGACCGTGTTGGGAGGTAGATGCATATTCCTCCGTGTTCGCTGCCAGGAAGAAGGACGCTGGCAGTTGTGTGGACAAAGTGTTGTGATTCTGTGCAGTGCAAACCACGCAAACATGCTGCTGGTCTCAACCTCCCATCATCGCTGCTTTTCCTCTCTTCTCAAGTTCTCAGCCATCATCACTCCTGTCATCTGAAAGTTAACCGGAAGTACGCTCCACGCCCGTCCAGCCTGGAATCGGGCTACTGGTATCTGCTCCGTGTCATGGCAGCAAAACCTCCCCCAACAGGATTTCAGCCTGCGAGTTACCAGCGAAATGGGGGCCCGCTCTCCGGATACAGGAACCTTACCGTGGAACATAGATCAATTCCCCTCCAAAGTCACCGGGACAAGCTGCCTTTAGGCTGTACTAGCAGTGTCCGTGTGCAAGAGTCCTCTCTGGCGCTGGGTTCCACAAACGCTCCGGGCATAGCGAAGCTGAGTTAACCGGCAACTCTGGATCTACCAGCCGTTCAATGACAGTGACATTTCATGGCGGAGAATGTGGGATGTCCCTTGAGTCTCTTCAACAGAGACTTTGTGACCCTTGCAAACTTTTTTCAATGACCAGCCTATAATGGTCTGGAGACATGAATGGGTGGTCATGCTACCCGTCAGTGACTGGTGTAGACATCAAACCGCTGCGGGGTGGTAACCTAACCACTTCAGTGGTAAATGGAGCGTTGGGGTGGGAAGAGATCGTCATAGATCCCGTTATTCCCACGGCCGGCCGGCGCTGGCTATATAACCGTCAGATCTCCTGTCAGGCCGTTTTCCATCTTGGCTTGCTTTGCTTCTGCTTTTCCCTTGTTGCTGTCGGATGCTTCCTTCCCGGATACCCCCCTTGTCTTTTTATCCCATCCCGATATAGGAGAACATCACGAGTATATTGTACTCCTATTCGAGCTGTGAGAACGGCGCAACAAAGATGTTATCCGACAACATTTACTACATCGCCGCCGTGGCGATCATTGGTGGCGGACTGTTCGGCTTTGATATCTCGTCCATGTCCGCCCATCATTGGAACAGAACAGTATCTTTGCTACTTCGATCAATACCCGAAAGTGCCTGGGAAGAAATGCGGTGGGCCGAAGCCCGATGTGCAGGGAGGCATCACCGCCTCCATGGCTGGCGGCTCATGGTTGGGTGCCGTTGTTTCTGGATTTATCTCCGATCTGGTTGGTCGCAAGATGTCTATCATGGTTGGCGCTTGCATCTGGTGAGTTTGCAGCCGAGTCAAGAGCACCTCGGCTTCCTAACGACACTAGGGTTATCGGCTCCATCGTCATTTGCGCATCCCAAAACATTACCATGTTGATCGTTGGGCGCGTTATCAACGGATTCAGCGTTGGTATCTGCTCAGCGCAGGTCCCCGTCTATATCTCTGAGATTGCACCACCGTCCAAGCGCGGCCGGCTTGTCGGCAGCCAGCAATGGGCCATCACCTGGGGTATCATGATCATGTTCTAGTAAGTTTAATATCGGAAGCTTTTGCAGATGAGAACCGCTGTTCTAAGAATAATGCAGTATATCCTACGGCTGTAGCTTTATCAAAGGACCCGCTGCTTTTCGTGTTCCCTGGGGCCTCCAGATGCTCCCCGCCTTCCTATTAATCATCCTATTGTTTCCACTACCAGAGTCTCCCCGCTGGCTGGCTCGCAAAGAACGATGGGACGCTTGCCGGGCGGTCCTCGTCAGAGTGCACGGCAAAGGTGACCCTAATTCGCCGTTTGTTGCGCGCGAATACCAGGAAATTCGAGAAATGTGTGAATTCGAACGCCAGAATGCTGATGTCACTTACCTGGAGCTCTTGAAACCAAACATGATTAACCGCACTCATGTTGGCGTTTTCACTCAAATTTGGAGTCAGATGACAGGCATGAATGTCATGATGTATTACATTACGTGAGTAGAACCTCTCTAGGATGTCGATAGAAAGCTAACAGGCACCACAGTTATGTTTTTGCCATGGCTGGACTCAAGGGCAATACCCTGTTGGTCTCGAGCAGCATTCAGTACGTCATCAACGTCGTAATGACCGTTCCTGCACTGCTCTTTGTGGATCGTTGGGGCCGCCGCATACCTTTGTTGGTTGGCGCGGCTTGCATGGCGACATTCCTCTTCCTCAATGCCGGAATGCTCGCTAGCTATGGAGCGCCTGCTCCTCCTGGCGGTGTAGATGGAGTCGAAGCCGTCTCCTGGCAAATCTTTGGGCCTCCCAGCAAAGTTATCATCGCTGGCTCCTACCTCTTTGTCGCCTCTTTTGCACCCACTTGGGGCCCTGTGTCATGGATTTACCCGCCTGAGCTTTTCCCATTGCGCGTTCGCGGCAAGGCCGTCGCCCTCTGCACTTCTGCGAACTGGGCGTTCAACTTTGCTCTCGGCTACTTTGTGCCCCCCGCTTTCGTCAACATCCAATGGCGAACCTATATTCTTTTTGGCGTCTTTTGCGTTGCCATGTTCATTCACGTTTTCTTCATGTTCCCCGAAACGGCGGGTAAAACCCTGGAGGAAGTCGAGGACATCTTCACCAAAGGAAAATGGAAGTACCTCGGCACTCCAGCCTGGCAGACAAAGGTTTCCTACGGGAAGGCTGCTCTCTTGGAGCAGACTGGCGTCAAGGAAGACGAAAAATTGCAACGTAATCCGTTGGACGCTGCAGAGACCGCGCAGGCCTTTCCTAAGGAGGAATAATTGGGTCTGGGTTTGCTTAATCTATCACTGTAGGACAACACTGCTTTGGGGAGGATGTAGTTTAGCAATTGGGGCGTTCAGATAGGTTGGGTCGTGGTTGGTGTTGGGTTCACCTTGATAATCTATATCTGTATTTGCAGCAAGTTATACTCCGTGGATGGGCCATAGGTTCAAGCGATTAATCACCTGGAATTCGATTCATTAGGCTGAAATGCTCAGTAATGTATACGATTTCGTTTGAAATTCTGAGGGGTTTTTAGAGCAGAGGAAAATTCTCGATGTTTTTGAATCAGATGCTGGGATTGAGATCAAATTGTATATTTAATTCAATGGCTGTTTAGCATTGAAATGCCTTACTCTGTGCAGGGTTTGCTCCAAAACTCTTGTCCTATCCTTTGGTCAGAAAGCTCAGTTGGCACATCCCAAGTCACCATCCCAGAGTTAACTACTAGCAACTATTGATTGCAATCAATTATCATCACATGTCCGGATGCACCGATGCAACAGCCAACTTCTTGTCTGTTCCACGACATATTGACGAACTTACAGCCATAGAGCGGTCACGAGGGGTCTATCCAAAGAGTGAACCAGATGCCAGAGCCCTCCTCCTGCACAGGCCGCCTTTCACCAAGTGCAGCTCTGTCGGATTGAGCAATGGATCAAGCTACACATCCGCCACGGTGGAAATACTTGGTTGTTTTCCTTTTACTGGCCATTGCTTGGTTCCGCTTCACCGGAGTGACCGTGCAGTTCCGAACCAGCTTGCTTGGAAATGACGGATATGCTTCTCAGAAGCCATTTGATGAGCAACCGATCATGGCTGAGCACGACGGCGGCCAGAAACCAAGTACGCGCACCAGACTCTCTCGGGTTCTTTGATTCTTCTATCCGCAGGTAGCTGACTCTCAGTCCAGTTGCGCCGCCCAAGGGGCTCATACCGCTAAAGTTCGAGCCCCTGCCGCTGGGCTCCATCAAACCCCGTGGCTGGCTGCTGGCAGAGGTGCAATCCATGGCCAGCGGCCTGGCGGGCCACGAATCTGATTTCTATCAGGTTGTCCGTGACAGCCGCTGGCTTGGCGGCAGCCATGACTACAGCGATTTGAACGAGGCGCTACCATACTGGTTCAACGGCGTGGTGCCGCTTGCGTACGAAACGGGCGATGAGATCTTGCTGGGCAAGGTCAAGGCGATTGCCGGATATGTGCTTGCGCACCAGCAGGATGATGGATGGCTGGGGCCGGAGACGAGGATGCCGGAGCGGAATTTTTGGGGTCGGACTCCGCTTGTCATGGGTTTGATGCAGATGGCGGAGGCGGAGGCCGGGAGCAGGGCGGCCGGGCAGATTATGGATGCGATGCACAGGTTTGTGGGTGTGATGCATTCTATGCTTTCTAAAAACTTGCAGGGGCTGGTTGCGCATCCGGGAGATGGATTCAACGAGCAATGGGGCCGGTCTCGTGCTGCCGACA